CCATTGATAAAGAGTTGATAAATGATTAATAGGTGTTTTAATAAATGGTTAATCAATGTTTATGGACTGTTTGAGACCATGGCTTATAACTAGCTACACCACTGTCCAGTGACTAACTTATAACCATCTGTAACACACACTACTCATGTATGTAAACTGCAAGGAAAGGTTTAGGTCGTGTGCAGTTGACTGCAAACATTTCTTATGCCCTGAGGTTGGGGACCCTATAGGCTTGGCCATATAGATGCCTTTTCTGAATGTGAATTCAAAGTTCTTTGTTTCTTGCTTAGAATACATTACTCATCCATGTAATGTGCTTATAGCATCTATTAATCATTGACTCACCCTTATAAATGAAACCTTACCATAAAGTCTGAGACCAGCCTCTAATTGCCTGGGGTTAGGAAGAAACTTTCCCTATGGGTGGGTTACGCTAGAAGTGTCCATTATGGGGATTCTTGCGCCTTCCTGTGAAGAGTCTGATACGGGCCACTGCCAGAAGCGGGATACAGGTCTGAACCGGCATGAGTTGCCAGGGTTTCTTCTATCAGTCAGCTGGACTGAGACAGCCTGGCCTGCCCCTCTGTGGTGTGAGCTGAATGAGAACAAGTGGGAAGCTTTTTCTTTTTCACAAATACTTATTTCAGTGTCTTTTTTTCATTGTAACTCCCCACACCAGAATTCAACGGTGAAGCTAGCCAGAGGAGTGAACGCCTTGCAAAAATGATGGCCAGGCACTCCGTGCTGCAGGGCTGGGGTCATCCAGCCAAACAGGGATTCTTTCCATGTCGACTTGGGATCTCACAAGAAACTGGATGTCTTTGTCACCAGGAAGCAGATACACAGGTCATGCACAGAGCTTGATCCCTCTCCCCCAGCCCCATGTTTCCCACCTGGCTCATTGGGCCACATCCAACCCTGCACAAATGGATGTCGCTACCAGTCCTGGTGTAGGCAGATGCAACTCCTAGTGACGCCAGTGGGAATTGCATCAGTATATGCCAAGGCTGAATTTGGCCCACTGTGCCTTTGGCTTCCTGCAATACAGGAGTTACTTGTTTAAAATAGCGGTGAAATATTATTGTGCAATGTATAATGCAGAAGAGGGGGGCTGGGGAGAGAGCGTGCTCCATATTTTAAAAAATATGACCTCACCCACCTTGTCTCTCTAATATCTTGGGGCTGGCATAGCTACACCTCCACTCTATATTTCATCAGTAATTTAGTGCTCAGTGATCTGAATTTGTCAGCTGCTGGACTTGACAGGCGGTGCTCTAAGGAGCAAGCCCCTCTGCTTCCCCCCGGTCTGTCCAGAGCAGCCACGTGTGTGTCACTGCTACATTGCCATTCTGTTTCCCTGGGCATTGACTGACTGGCCAGCAGCGGGGAAGGAAACAGTGGAAAATATGCCACGCTGAAGTAACCTGGGCTTGCTGATAAGTTTGGGCTGGAACCTCCTCCCAACCAGATCATCCCAAGCAAGATCCTTTCCATCACCGCCAGTCAGTTGTGTTGCATTAACTGCTCGATTCCGCTGTGTCTTGTCTTGTTGATGTAAGTGTAAGATCTAGTAGCATTTCCAGCTTGGTTCATGTGCCCTTATCAGTGTCGTTTGGACTTAGACTAGGTACTACAGAAAAACTCTCTAAAGAAAATACAGGGTGAACAGTCAAATGGAGTTAAAATGAAGTCCGGGTGGTGGAACCTTCCTGCCATAATGGGGTACCACAGCTAACCAGACCGGTACACTTTCTGTATATAGCCCATCAGCCTCCATTCTGTGTTGAGCAATACAGAGCAACACTGGGTACCTGGTCACCAGACTAACAAGAAACGTAACTTTAAAGCTTCCCAGTTGGGAGAGCAATGGAAGATTTATATGACATATGGTGCTTTTGTTGGACAGCTGATTGAATCCAAACTCTCCTCTAAATGGACCTAGTGGAGGCAGTTGTCCAGGTGCACTTTAAACTGAAGGTCCTAATCCTTAACCTTGTGAATTTGTTTTTTTTTAACCGATTTGGGTTTCTACACATTTTGTCTCAGGATTTTAGATTTGGGACATTTTGTTCCCCTAGCAATTTTTCTGTTTTCCTTGAAATTACTTCATGTGTGAACATCAGCAATTCCGGAGTTAGAGACACAGAAGCTATGTCATATGAGACTTATTATGGACAGAGGTCTTCAAGCCAAATAGTCCAGGCTGCACGGTGTAAGAAACCCTACGATTTGCTGCAAGACCCTGTTCTGGGTTGTGATTCCATTATTGCTGCCTGGCCATGAAGAAATACCTCTGAACATTCACATTAGGTTTGGATGGCATCTAAAGATGGACCGAGCCATTTTTTGTAATATTAGCACTTCTTCCTCCTCAAGGTTCTTTAAGTAGACGGGGCATTTTGTTACCATCCAGCTGTCTACTCACTGCAATGGTTAGTTTGGCCCCTCTGCCGAGATTTTCATACTCCTTAAAAACCAACCAATAATGTCCCCCAAATGGGGCCATAAGTGAATGAGACTGTGACTCTCACTAACCTTGAAATGCGTTTCTCCACACCTGGTCCTAATGACTGTCTACTGGCACCTGTGCTTCAATGCAAAGCAGCCATTTGCAGTTTGATGAAATCAAAGTATTTTTGTAGGCCCCTCTTTAGTTGTATGGTTTCCTTGCAAAAGACCCTGAAGGAAGGGTGGTAAGAAGGGACTCGCACCAGCAGCCAGTTATTTCTCAGAGGTTTTTTTTATCTTCCGGTGATTGTAATGGCCACCTTAGCTGGCTTTTCACCACGCCGTTCAGTGCTGTGAATCATGTTTATTAGGGCAGTGCCAAGGCACCAATCCAGAATGAGCCCCCATTGTGCAAGGAGTGGTAGACAGTCCCTGCCCCAAAGAGCTTACAGACTAGATGGACACAGGGTGGGGGGAAAGGACACATCATGCATTTAGGCCTCAATCCCTATCAGCAGAAGATACATATTTTGAACATAGTTCGACATCTTATTAAAACCACACACACACACACACTTATTAACGCCTGCAGACAGCAACACCTCAGCAACAGCCTCTGGGTCTGATCCGGGCCCACTGAAATCCTTAGGAGACTTTCCACTGACTTCAGTGGGTGGGGGAATAGAGACCGGGAACACGAAGCTCAGAAAACAACTGGACATGCCCTGAACCCTGAAGGGAACCCTGCAGTTCTGGGATATCATAAAAGGGAACACTCAGTAAATCACTTTACATTTCCGCATGTCTCAGCTGAGTGAATGAAGAGGGGGGAGAAAATAAAATGTGATTTAAAAAAAAAGTATTATTTGGGAGAACATAGACAAAGTATGTGTCACTTTCTCTTAGGTCCATGTATTGTTTACAATAATGCTCTCTGTGCACCTATGCAAATACTTGAATAATGCAATTCATTGTGCCTTTTGCCTCGTTTCCAGTTAATAAATTTGTTGTCAATTGTCATTGAAATGTTGCATGGGAGTGTTGCTAACGGCGTCAATGCCAGACAGCAATAGCTCAGCCTGGTGACTGATACCCTCCTAAATAGGGATGTGCCATGTTCAGAAGTGGTGCGATGCCAAGAAAAAAGCCTTCTAAAAGTTTAGGTAAGCTTAGGCACTGCAAAGACTCCAGTCGGTTGCAGACCTGAAGAAGAGCTCTGTGTAGCATGAAAGCTTGTCTCTCTCTTTCTCCAACAGCCGTTAGTCCAATAAAAGATACTCCCTTACCTGCCTTGTCTCTCCAAAATTCAACCCGTGAAGCAAAGCCATGGCTATGAACTGAAACTGGAATCACAGGTAAAGCAGCAAGGACAATTTTTCTTTACCAGGAGAGGGAGCTGCTGCTCTAATCTCTTTTCCACGGTTCTATTTCTTGCTATGGTGCGGATGCCGGCAGTCTACCGACATGCCGCATAGCAATAAAGTCAAGAACCACTCAAAAAGATTTCAGCTCAGCCCTCAAGAGTTTGTACAAAACTCCTTTATTCTCCCTCTAAGTACAAACATTATTGAAATGTCTTTGAACGTGGGGGTTGCTTCCAGTTAAACATCAAAGCTAGTCACAGAGTTACATTAATTCTGCCTCTTCCCAGTATGTATACAGCATGTTCATTAGGAACAAAGCTCCCAGGATCTTGCAGGCAGGGCCAGAGCGTGTCTTGTATCACCTTGTGCTGAGGGCCCCAAAGGACGTAACGTGAGCTCTGGCAGTTCCCCGGCAGAGTCCAGGGGACATTGACTTTCACAGTTCCCAGCGGTGACTTCCGGCTCAGCATGTTGCTCCCGTCTCCTGCCCCAGGACACTGACAACCCACATATTCAGCTGGTCACAAGTGACGTGCATTGAGCGTAGTGCTGACGTGCGGAGCTCATTAGCTGAACCTTCCGCTCATAAAATAGTGCTGGGGGTTTTCATTGGAAAACGCTGGCTCTGTATCTATTAGATCTTCCCACATCTCCAACCCTTAAAAAAAAACCAGACACCGGAGGGCTCCTAGCTCCATTTAAAGTCAATGGAGCTATGACCATTTAGCCCAGCTGCTGATCTTCCCCTTGAACTCAGCGCTTGGGTGCCAGTACGTAGAGGGTCTACCTGTGTGCTGAGACGAGCCGTGTTCTTAAACCAGATCCAAAGAGAGCTGAGCTGTTTTTCAGGGATCCGTGTGTGAGTTCAGGAGACTGACATGAGCCATGCTCAGATGTGGAGGGAACTAGATCACAATCCTCTGAAGGCTCCCGGTTACTCAGCACACAGTGGTTGCTACCAGCAACCGAGCCTTGATTCAGGATGAACTAAAGCGCCCCTTGTGGGTTCAAAAGGTGGTGGAGGACTCAGATTGTGGGGGTTGTGGCTGAGAGACTGTGGAAGAGGGAGCTGTGCAGAGAAGAGTAAGAATCCAGGGGAAAGGTGAGCAGGGCACAGTGCAAACCACAGACAGAGAGACTGTGCAAAGACGAGGTGAGGGAAGAAAAATTCGAATAAAAAAAAAAAATCTGTACAGCCAGAGATCAGTTACCCACTTATGCCAGCCCAGCTTCTAATGTACAGCCCACACTTCCCTTGGGGACAAAAAGCATCTGGGTTTAAATGAGGGGGAGAAAAGACTTGGAAACTAGCTTTGCAAATCCCACAGTGGGATCCCACAAATCCCCCAAACAGCCCACAATGGGCTCCCAAACCTCAGCTTCGAAAACATTTGCCTATTTGATTACTAATCTCGTTTGCCAAAAAAGTCTTGAGCATTTGCACCCACCTGGTCTTCCAGGCTAAAGAAGCACTTTCACTAACCAAGGAAAGGTGCTAAGTCTTGAGGAAGCCAGTGACAGTCAGTGATTCGGCACTCTCCAGCCCTGATGTTACCCAGCTGTAGCTCCGCTGAGCTCACTCCCGATTTACACTGGCTCATGCAAGGGCAGAATCAGGCCCAGTAACTTTACAGAAGAAGTTCAGCATCAATTAGAGCTAATGTGAAAAACACTCACGTGAAAGCTAATTAACATTGTGCTGCAGGAAACAACTCCTCCCCCCGCCCGCAGCTCACAAAAACAAAAGTTAATTTCTACTGTAGATATACACACTTTGCCAAAGCCCTGGTTTTTTTTTTAAAAATTCTCTAAGGTGTGAATTGTGCCATTATTACTCAAGCTGAATGGTCCCTTCCTGCAGAGGAAGTCCCATTGCAAAGTTACTACTCCCCAGAAACTGGCAGAATCTGGCCCTACAGCTTTAAGTGGCATCGTTCACCTTTCTAGTGAATGCAGATAATTTAAAACACAATCCTGGCGCTGTCACAGCCCACGGTGTTACCCAGCACACAGCAATGTCCTAGTAGGACAACAGGTCAACGCAGAGATGGGGCTGAACCAAAACTTCACAGCCAACCCCTCAGAAATCTGCGGGTACTTCCAAGCTGAGCTGATTGAAATCTTGGCATTTGGTTAAGCGCTCGTCTCTGTAAAAGACTGAATCAACCCCCCAGGTCTGAACATCTCTGAACTACCAAGCTGAAGTCTGGGGCTATCCAATGTGAAATCATTAGATCAAGAGCAGCAGAACTGCATTCTCTCATCCAGTTGCCTGCTGAGCCATTCAGCGCGACCTCGCGTCCAGAGGAAACGCAATCAGAGATCATTTAGGGGCTGGGGTGTACCTTCTACAGCTCTTCACCACTGGCAATATTGAGCTCTGCCGCGTATGATTGCTACTTTGCACTGGCTATTAGCTCAGCTGGCTCACCCTATAAGGGAGTCAGTGCCCCCTCCAAATGCTCCTAACTGGCTGGGGACCAGGTGGCTTTGATTCATGATTGGACCCAGCTGAGAGCAAGAGGGTTTGCACAAAAGGCAGCACACGCTCAGCTGGAGGGAGGTGGCAGCCTGGGGCTGGCCCTAATGGGAGAGGGCTGTGGGTGGGCAGGCTTCAGAGGATGTCACCCATAGGTGGCTGGCTTTGGGGGTAGACTGGAGCTGAGGCCCTAGAATAGGGGAAGGGAGTCCAGGGAAGAAGCCCTGAGCCTTAGTGGCTTGGTAGGAATGGGCTTCTAGGGAGAAGGCCGGAGAGGTAGTGCTCTGATGGAGAATGGGCAAGAACTCGGCAGCACCTGGGAGGGGAGCGAAGAGTCTGGGGAGGTCTGAGCTCAGGAAGGGGCTGTGGAAAAAACTAGAAATTGTCTGAGACAGGAAGTGGTCTGGGGAGGCAGCAAGCAGTGTGTGGATGGAGCTTGGCTGCTTTAGATGGGGGTGCTAGAGGAGAGCCTGTTATACCACATCATCCAGCAATTTGGGGACTGGGGGGTGGAGTTCCAGCAGTGAGTCCCCTCTTCTACATTCACGCACTCAGATAGACTAGGTTCTCCTGCAGTTAGGCAGTTGTGGCAGCTTTTGCCACCTTAGGACAAACACTGCTGACTTCCTTGCACTGCTAGGGTATATTCTGCATCGGGAGCGGTGAGAGCTGCAAAATTCAGCTTCAAACTTTCTCAGCATTTAGGGTGTCGGGACCTGAGGTTTTGGTTTGTCTCACTAAAGCGACAGAAACTATGTTCAGATCTGACCTGAACTTCCTCTTTAAGGATGTTTGGTTCAAGCCCCTCTCAAATGTTACGATGCTGTGGTTAAAATCATCAGAGGTTTCATAAAGTCATGTTGCATATTTACCCTGACAATTTACTAGGTATAAAATCTGTTTGATTGCCCTTTGGTAGGATGACAACAAAAACAAATGATACCTTACTTGCCTGTCTAAATATTTACTTGCCCAGGATGAGGGTGTGCCCTGGCTTTAAAAACAGGGGGTTGGTGGGTCAGAGGAGGGTGTTTTCTATGAGTGGACCTTTTACTATGGAACTTGCTCTGGCAAGCCAATGGCATGCTGAAAACCCATCTTTTCCCGCAGGCTTTCGGGGATTGGAAACATTATGGGGTCGTCATATGTCAGGACTTGCTGTCTGTCTGGGTAAGCTGCCCAGGGGGTTTGCAAGGGCAGAATATTCACTGGGGGTCTTCCTGTTTTGTTTGTTGTTGCTATGTATTTTAAGTTTTGTAGAAGTACCTAGAGCCCTTACGATAGGGGCTGTAAAGAAATCAAAACCCACTAATCAGTCAGTCAGTGGAGGTCAGTTTGAAGTAAGCACAACATCAGCCGGAGTTCTGGTTAGGAAGGTGTGCAGCTCATGCACTAGAATCTGACAATGTTGAGAGACCGGCCTTCAGAAAGGATCCCAGAGAAGAATTCTGCTTCAAGCTTGTCATATTTCAAGGGATTTGCCACTTTCAGCAGCTATTCATGTTGATGTCTTATGGGTGAACACAAAATATACCCCTTGCTTGTGTTATGACATCAGGCCTGCTTCAAAGCCCACTGGAAGATTGCATTTGACTCCTGTAGCATTTGGTCAGATCCATGATTAGTTTTACTTTCTGTGCTTTTGCTTTAAAATTACTCAGTAACATTTTAGCCTGTTCAGAGCAGCATCCTCTGCCCTTGAACATTTATATCACTGCTTTAGCTGTAGATCATGAATACTTTGGGTTTATCATCGGCAATCATGTCAGAATTATCCACTTCTATCAGAATGTTCTTGTCGTCCTTGATTGCTGGTGCCTGGTCGCTGTTCTGAAGAACTTGTGGTAGGTTCCCTAAATTTATGTCCATGTCTTTGAAGGCATGGAGTAAAAACACCCCCAAAATAATGGTGAGGAAGCCACAAACTGTCCCAATAATGTCCACCACCGACATGGCGACCCACTCCTTAAAGAGGATGATAGAAGTGGTGATGACTATGGTGGTGAATAACACGTAGTAGATGGGAAATACCAAGGAGGTGTTGAAAATGTCTAGTGCTTTGTTGAGGTAGTTGATCTGAGTGGTGACGGAAGCCACCAACGTGAGGATGAGGATCCAGGGCAGCGGGTTCTGCAGGACAGGCTGGTCAGCAAAGAAGCCCTTGATGGCAATCCCCAGGCCTTTGACGGAAGACACTGAGAAGGCACCAATCACGGAGCAGATGGTGAGGTAGATGAGAATGTTCCGCTGCCCGTAGCGGGGTGCGAGGAAGAAGATCAGAATCAGGCAGCCTACTAAGAGGATGGCAGCATAAGCGAGGAAACCTTTGAGAGGCAAGAAATGACAACATGAAATCCACAGGCATGCACAGTCAGGCTATAATGACAGCATGCGTTACTCGGGATACGCCAGAGAGATCAAACACCCACCCACGGCTGGTCAGAAGCACTGTAACCCAGAGTAAGGCAGTAACACACCTGACATACGCAGGAATACAGTTTGAAAAAAAATAAAAGGCCAGATCTTCAAACTGGTGGAAAACATTGTAGCGCCACGAAACTGCATGAAGCTATGTGGATTTCCACCAGCTACAGATCTGGGACCAAAGACTCCCCCGTCACTTGTTATGCAGTCCCAGTCTAAGGCCTTAGACAAATACCTGTCGGGGGTTCATGTTACCAGTTTATGAATGAGCTTGTTGCCCAGGGAAAGTTCGAACCAGACGGCAGTGTGTAGGGCCAGCTCAGCACATGGGTCCACGGGCATAAAGGAGGAGGGGATTTGGCTGATTGTAGGAAACAGCCATGCTGCCTCCACATTGCAGCTTGGCCACCTTAATGCTGACCTGCTCTACTCCAGGTATTCACATCCTGAGCACCTTAGAAGCTGAGACGGCAAATGGTTTGGGGTGGGAAAAGGCACCAAGTACAAATTCAGCCCAGATATGGATGCCCCTCAGAGAATGGCAGCAACAGAATCAGGCTCCGAGATGCTCCAGTCATACAAATAACAACAGCAAATGCAACAGCAAGACCATGATTCTCTAAAACCTGCACAACTGGATCCCAAGTGCTGATTACAAAAAAACCCACGGGCCCTCTCCAGGAGTCTAGAGCCACTGTCTAAAACACTAGAACGCACAACAGGGGGACTGCAGGGAAACAGTTTATAGGGGTGCACCATGGAGTCTATTCAATCCTTCAGCTAGACCCCTGGAGGCGTGGTCCCTAACTAGAGAAAAACTCCTGGATGTGACCTTCAATCTGCTGCACGTACATTTTCCGCTAAACGGCCCCATCTTTGAGCCGGCTGAACTGCCTGGTGCTTACCGGGCTCTTTCAGTTTTGAAGCCATTTCGGCCAGAGTGGTGATCTCCTCTTCTTCTGGGGCGTGTATCACCATCACTGTGCTACCCACAATGCTCAGCATGCAGCCTAGCTTCCCAAGCAGGTTTAGCCGCTCTCCGAGCAGATAGGACGATAGGATGGCACTGTGCGGGTCAGAACAATAAAATACGTTAATACCCCCAAATCGTCTACGGGAGAACTGCCAGCGTTAAACAAAAGGCAGATTAAAAGGTTACGTGTAAATTACATTTATTAAAGGCCAGGAAGAAATTCTTCTCTCTGTTGTGTGGGTGTAAATCTAGAGTAACTCTACTGAGTTAAGTGGGTTATTCTGGATTCACACCAGAGTTACTAATGGCAGAGGCTGGACTCTGTGTCTCCTAAAATTCACAGCTCACGTAGAAATAAAATTAAAGTCTTGAAAAGAAAATGCTTATAGGTGGAGAGAGATCAGTGTGTCTCCAGAGGAACTAACAGTGTGGCCAGTTCCATTCATGCTCAGGTGGGTAACATGAAGTTCCTAGCACCCAAAGAAAGGGGTTTGAGGACCAAAGGAACAAACACTCCATTAATTATTTAGTTATTAAACTTTAGAAACTCTTTGAAGGGACAGTAGAACCCAACTACGAGTTTGCTTATCAAAATGACCCACTCTGGAGGCAGTTCTGCACTGTAGTGGTGCTAAATCTCCCATTTTTATTGTGAGTCTTGCAGTAATTGGTGTCTTTTTGAAAAAATAGCCCCAGCTCCTGGAGTCACGTGAAAATCCGAGACTCCCAGTTTTCACTAAAAGAAAAATAAGTTTCTAGCCCTCTGGCAGGAGAGAAAAGTACAAAAATGTGATCCCAATGCACCTTAAAAGTTCAAAAGCCAGACTGCAAATCAAGAGAACCCGAAATGGATGATTTTGTGACAAGTTCTCATGATTTTTGGCATTTATGGTTGGCAATACTATCCACTGCCAAAAATGTTCTGGTATCAGCGCCACAGCTGGGAGAACAGAACAAGAAGGAAGAGACAGAGGTTTTTATAAAAGCTTCCAAATGAACACCGGACTACTGGTCACACCACCATACGTTGTTGCCATGTGGCATATGTTATTTAATCCAACAGTTAATGTGCTTTGTGCAACATCCTGCGCTGAGGAGAGCATCCGCCTATTTGTCCATTTTGTAGCAATCACCAAGATGTTTTTCTTCTTGCAGAGTAAATCACGTTTGTGCCATCTGGGGGGAAAAGGGGGTTGAATATAAAAATAGAGAGACCTAGAAATCACCTTATGAGCACGCTCAGGGCGCCAAGGGGGGTGACGATAGTTGCAGGCGCAAATGCATAGGCAGCAAAGTTGGCAGCTTCCCCTCCACCCACTGAGCAAACGAGAGAAAAACAAACAGCCAACAAGTGAGTTACAACACGTAGTATTTCGTTAAAGTCATTGTGCATTTTCAGAGCAATAAGGGCTGAGCTGGGGAAGGAGCCTGAATCTTGCTGGGGGTTTCGACGCTGCATGTAAACTGAGCCAGGGCATCTTGGGGCAAAATAACCCCGGTGAGAACTATTACCGAGGAGGGAGCTTCGCACACAGGGGATCTGCAGGAAGTTGTACATCCTGGATTCTGTTACCAAGCGGGGGGATGGAGGGGGGGATACCGCCTCCCGAATATCTACCTACTGATGTAGATGTGCCCTTTCATGACCTTGGTAGTCCATCAGGCTTTGTCCAGTGCCTGGTACGCTGACAGACCAGCCAGCCTTCCTGGTGTAACCGGGGCTTTTCATACTTTTGGCCAGGAAAACCAAGCGAACTAGTTCTGCAAGCAATCCAGACGGGCTGCGATGTGACGGGCACAGCATGCTGGTTCTGCTCTATTTATCTATCTGCAAGGGGTGGAGAATCTGTCCCTACACTGAACAAACTTCCGAGCCACTGGAGAAATTGGCTAAAATCATAGCTTGGTTACGCCTCCATTTTCTGAACCTTGTAAGGGCCATACATGCATGGGAATGTGAATAACCCCACTTACTGGTTAACAGTCCAGCCCACCAGAGCCAGTCCTTAAGGTAGCCATGACCTCCGTCTCCTGGGAAAGCAAAGCACAGATATTTAGGGACTACTAGAAAAATAACCCACAGCCACAAGAAATAGCAGATTCCGAGCTACGAAGGGGCTGTTTCAAATGACTATTGAAACAACCTAGAAGGCGAGGAGACAATAAACAAATCAGTAAAATCCTACATGGAAACCAGAGATTGAGAAGGCTGTTAGTAGAAGGTGGTATTTACAGCCTGGACGGGCAGCATAAATACAATAGAAAACAGCTATTTAATCCCATTGGACAACACTGAAAAGACAACGTTATCCCCCGGCCAGTGCTAAGCACTGAAAGCTCTGTGATGAGTTTGCAGCGTCTTTGCATGGATTTGCTGAGTGCCCTTGACCACTAACAGCCATGGTCATTGTTGCTATTTTTCAGGGAACTGCTTGTAGGGTCCCAGCATCAAATGCCTTGGCCAGGGCCCAGATGTGGAACGGAAACCTGAAAGGGAGCTTGTGGGGGGAAGAGACAAGGGGTAAAGCTGATGGGGAAACAGGCCTCTTGCTGGCGTCATGGGGGGCAGTGTTAGCTAGTGGATAAGGCACTAAACTGCTCAGGATGTCGCGATTCTATCCCAAGCTCTGCTGCTGATGGGCTGGGTGACCTTGGGCATGTTGCTTTCTCTCTCTTGGCCTCTGTTTCCTCTCCCATTCTATTTGGGCAGGGATTCTGTCATTATGTGTTTTTACAGTACCTAGCACCCTGATCTCAGTTGGGGTCTCCAGGCGTTACTGGAATACAAATAATGAATAATAACATCCCTGACTTAATGCAAAAAGGGAGTTTCATGACTCTGTGTTTCTGATGCACAATTATTTATGGCATTAAAAAAAAATGAGATGGTGGAAAATGTGTTTCTAAAAAGGAAGAGTTCAGAGGATCAAGTGGGGCGGGAAGTGGAATCTAAAGTTCTTCCACACCAAGAGCCTGATCCTGTCCCCATTAAAGACAAAGCAAAAACTCCCACTGATTTTAGCGGGAGCAGGATAGGGCCCAGTTTTCAATGACACTGGCTGAGCAGGTACTACCAGGTAAGAGCACAAATTAGGAGGAATGTTGAAGTAGGCAGCAGCAGAGGGCCGTGCTCAAATACCATGGTAATGAGCCTGCTATAAATGCCTAGATGGAAAGATTAGATGGCTAAAAGGAAAGTCAGAGCCAGCAATGGATAAAGAACACTTGGGAAACTACTGCTAGAATTGGAACATTTAAAGAGCCTCAATGAAAGCTACAGGGAGAAGATTACACACTGGCTCCCTTAGAAATTCCTGCTTTCTTTGGCACAAAACTTTCTCAGAAATTCTTCTTTTTGGCTGAAATTTTCCATGCTTGAGCTCAGCCCCATGGTGAATCGCTCTGGAAAATCCCTGCGACCACTATGGAGTTAGCTCAGCTTTGGGATGCGGTGGAGGAAGCTGGGGAAATACTTTTGTTACTGTTAAATTCCTAAGATTTCTTTGGGCAGATAACTCAAAAAAGCTGAACTTTACAACATCGGCTGTTGCATATGGCCAGTCCTCAGCAAGGGGCAGACACCCTGGGGGTGGATCTGTGCCGCTTAGCAGTTAGAAGCCCAGATTGGCACTGAGGAGCTCTGGGTTCTAGTCCCAGCTTCACCCCTGACCTGCTGGGCGACCTTAGTCAAGTCACCTCATTGCTCTGTGCCTCAGTTTCCCCATCTGTAAAACAGGGACAATGATACTGACCTCCTTTGTAAAGCTCTTTGAGATCCACTGATCAAAAATGTTATCTAGGAGCTAGGTGCTATGGTTTGTAGTTACACAGTGAGGTTGGCTGCAGGTGTGGTTCGAAACATTGGTCACACCAGAGCAATGGGATAAACTCCACTGTGCAACTCAACAGTGGGCAGAACTGGGGGATCAGACTTCACTCCGCCCCCCTCCCCCAATTCCACCTGTTGGGGCACACAAACACATCCACCACATTTACCTTGCATCTGTACACACGGCTGGTCAGGCAACAGACACACACACCCCAGTGCAACCCCACTGCACACACGTGCTCCAACAACCACAAGCTGAGCTTCCACATATCCCACTCAGACTCCACCTCCACATGCTGCTCTAAGGTGATGCAATACACACACGCTTCCCCTTGCTCAAGCCCCTACTGCATAATCTCATCCTGGCACATACCGTCCCCCCTTGTGCAATACAATCCCACACATGCATGCCTCAGCCAGAGCCTGCATTCAGCAGCTCCCACTCGCTCCAACAGGCATGACACATTCATATGCTCTCACAGAGATCCCTCTTGCTCCAGCTCTGGTCATGCCCCCTAGGCCATCTAATCAGGAGAGATACAATCTGTCAGCAAGACGGCATATGATATGCCCTCTGCTCATTAAGGACAATGCACATGTGTGAAGGAGTGGAAGTAAAGCCTTGCAGCATCACTTATCCTCACCTTGCAAAACAGTGGGGGTCAGGGTCAGCAATACCATTAGGGGCCAGCCCACTCAGTAATAAGCCCCGCCCTGTTCTGTGTCATCTGTGAAGTCATAGTCAGTGTAACCTCATGGTGCGAGCGGTAGGATACCTGAGACACCAACTGAAGAACACAGAGGACCTTATAATCATTACCTCTAATTTGGATGGGCACCATCCAAGGTGCTTTTCTACCTGTGAAGTAAAGCCACCCTGACCATTCTTAGGGCATTAGAACCGCTTTGGTTCTGCGGTGCTGGGTGCAGGTGCGTCAAAAAGATAACCTCTCTGAGACGGCAAAGATAACGACAGCAGCCCTCACTTGCTGCATCACGTCTGAGATTAGATTGTAACCTCTCCAGCACAGAGACCATATTCTGTAGAGTTCTCAGCATGTTTCAGTTACTGTATTATTAATAATAATAAATAAATAACACAGATGGGGAATTATTTATATGTAGTTTAACATGAAGTTAATATTTACTTGATGAAAGGGGGAAAGTTTATACACATATTCTGGGCTCTGCAAATGAATTTGACATTTTGCATTAATAAGATGTCATTCTCCTGTGCAGGAAAAACACACAGGGCCTTGTACTGTCCCAGTGAATCCAATGGCAAAGTTCCCCATTGACTTCAATACAAGCAGGATTTGGTTCATGGAGAACAGAACTGTGCAATCCCATTTGAATGAATTGATCCATTCTGCAGGGGTGAAATTCTCCCCTGGGCAAAGGGCTGGCACCAGAGCTGTGAACCATTTGAGTCCCACGTTCAGTTTTATTTACACAGAGAAGAGTCCCTGATGGGTACTAGTTCCTGATGGATGAAAAGTTCCCCCACTCCCAGTTATCAGGCACTTCAGATGCAAACACACACACAACAGCAGCTCTCACGAGGCATATCCCCCGGCCTCATTACTCATGGGAGTGTGGACAATGCCTCTGATTCTGGGAGCAGAAACCCCATCTTCCGCCCTGAATCTCCATACCTGCTCTGGTGCCCCCTTTGTCCACCAGTCGCAGCAGCCCTTTCTTCTTGAGGATGACACTGCTGCCGATGAGGAAACTGGAGAAGATGGCAAGGGCCAAGCCAATGTAGAATCCATATTTGCTTTCTACTTGTGTTGCCCAGCTGCTGTGCAAAGTGAGATTCTTATGGACAGAGGTGGACAGGTTGCCGTCACTGACTACCTGGCATACGACCCAACGAGAAGAGCAAGAAATAGGAACCAAAGAACCTGTGAGGACAACACACACAGAAAACAAATGTGAAGGATTAACGAGAATATTCTATGGGACTCTATCAAATGTGTTTCTTTAGGGATGGTGATGTAGTGGTCAGAGCACAGGGCTGGGACTCAGGATTCTAATCGCAGGTCTGTCACTGACTCCTTAGACAGCCTTGACAAAAATGTTTTAGGGCCAGATTCTAGCACCCTTATGCACTCTTATTTCATGAACAGTCCCCCTGAAGTCAAGGTGTTACTGAATATGCTCAAAGTAACAGAATCTCTCTACCTAAGATACTTACGTGGCCCCCAATACTGTAGGATGTGAGCACCCCAAAATCTTCAGTATGTTTATCCTCATAACACCCCTGGGAGCCAGGTAAATACTATGTTTGTCATGAAACTGAGGCAGAGAGAGAAGAAGCAGCTTCACAAAGTATTTAGGCTCCTCCTACACGAATGGAAGTTAGGAGCTGAAAGACCTGGGCCTAAGTGACTTGCCCGAGGTCACACAGGAAGTCTGTGGTGGAGCAGAGAACTGAACCTAGATCAAAGGTTCAAACAACAACAAAATCAAGGAGCAAAGGAAAAGCTTAACAGAGGCACAAATGCTAATTGTTTAATGTATGAAACCCTCAACAAGGGGGCGATTACGTGGCATGAGTTTGTGGATGGACGCCCTGGTTAGACATCCGTGGCACTGGGACACTAGGCTTTAAGCTCCATCTGTACTACAGTTAGAAACCCTTGGCTCACTTAGCTGGCAAGATTCCAGCTAGCGTGGCTGGACACAGCAGCTTTTTCCCAGCATGGCTCTAGAGTCCTGGCAACGTTGGGCTGGAAGGGACCTCGATAGGTCGACTAGTCCAGCTGCCTGCACTGAGGCAGAACCAAGCAAACCTAGACCATCCCTGAGAGGTGTTCGTCTAACTGTCCTTAAATGTCTCCAGCGATGGGGTTCCATAACCTCCTTTGGTAACCTATTCCAGTGCTTAACTAGCCTTATGGGGGTTTTTTTGTTTTGTTTTTTTAATTCAACGATTTTATTGTATACATTTACATAAGCAATATTGCAGAGGTGACTGGAAAACTTTTTTAAGCATCCTCCCCACCAACAGGTGCATCTCCACTCTTCGTGTTTCTAGTGTAAATCACTTGGGCTCGGTGCTTGGACACAAGTTTGATCCACCCTTGGCTGAGCAGTTCTTGGAGGGCAGCCCTTGCTAAAGATCCTCGAATCTTTTAGCCTTTCCCCATAGGTCAGGTTTTCTAAACCTTTTATAATTTTCCTTGCTGTCCTCTGGACACTGTTCCACTTGTCCACATCTTTCTTAAAATGTAGCGTCCAAACCTGGACACAGCACTCCAGCTAAGACCTCACCAGTGCTGAGTAGCTGTACATATGACACTCCTGTTAATGCACCCCACTGCATCACATTTTTGGCTCATATTCAATTTGTTACCCACTATATCCCCTAGATCCTCTTCTGAGGTACCACTGCCTAACCAGTTATTCCCCATGTCACGGTTGTGCATTTGTGTTTTCCTTCCTACATGTAGTACTTTGCACTTGTCTTTATTGCAGTTCATCTTGTTGATTTCAGCCCAATCGTCCAATTTGTCATAGCCATTTTGAATTCTAATCCTGGCCTCCAAAAGTGCTTACAACCCTCCCAGCTCAGTGCCACTCATGAATTTTATCAGCGTATTTTTCACTCCATTAGCCAAGTCGTTAATGAAAATGTTGAATAGTAACAGACCCAAGACAGACCCCACTAGATATGTCCTCCCAATTTGACAGTGAATCACCGATAACTACTCTTTGAGGATAAACTTTCAACCAGTTGTGCACCCACCTTCTAGAAATTTCATTTAGATCACATTTTCCTAATTGGCCATGTGGGACTGCATCACAAGCCTTATTAAAATCAAGCTATATCACACCTACCGCTTCCCCACAACCCACTAGGCCTGAAACATTGTCAAAGAAGGAAATGAGCCTGGCTTATTCTTGACAAATCCATGTTGGCTATTCCTTATAATCCTGCTATCCTCTAGGTGCTTGCAAATTGATTGTTTAATCATTTGTTCCAGTATCTTTCCAGGTATCAAAGTTAGACTCACCGGCCTAATTCCCCAGGTTCTCTTTGTACCCCTTTTTCAAGATCACTACTATGCTTGCCCTTCTCCAGTCCTCTGAGACCTCACCCATCCTCCAAGATAATCGCTTATGGTTCTGAGAAAATACCTGAAGGTGAATTTCATCAAACGCTGATGACTTGAATACATCTAACTCATCTCACTATTCTGTAATCTGTTCTGGCTTGTGTTCCTTCACCTGTGTGTGTCATTTGTGTTGACTTTTCCACACCTGGACACACTGCACAGCCATGTTTGTATCTTGTCTCTCTAATATCCTGGGACCGACACAGCTAAAACAACACTACATGTTTTGTATCAACACACTCTAGGAAAACTTGGGCTCAGCAGCTGGAACCAGGAGCTGTGGTTTGTGGGTCCTTTTCATACAGTGTCCTGCGCTTTGGGACGTCCTCCCACCTGGGTATAAATGGGTGACATGCAGGAGTGCTGGGAAGAGGGTGAACTTTATTTCCTGGCCCCTGTCATATGACATTGGTCAGGGCTGCAGAAAGTTAATATCGCTGTCACACAGCAGGGGTCACAGTATCCTTCTCATATACTATGCGAGTCCTGTATGTTATCAGTAGTGTTCCCTTGTCAGCTAAAGTCCTTCAAGAACTGAGTCTCTGAAGTAGTTTCCCCTTTCTCCACCACAAGCAGAGATAACAATTTGACTCCCACTCTTTATTCAGCGTCACAAACACTCCTTGCTCTCCAGATGTACTAACCGCCCTGGAGGCTAAGTGACAGTCTATCTCAGTACAATCACGTTGCTACTACAGGGCCATCAGAGTCTAAGGCATTTTTTGTTTCCGTCAGGAACTGACTCCAGCAAATGCAGAACAAATATAGGGGGCAGACGAGAGAAGGGATTTACTATACAACAGGTGAAGATCATTGGCTATCTAGAACGAGTATAGTAATTGGAAGGAAGACCTTTATTGAATAAAACACTTCTCTAAAGTGTGGAGAGAAGCATTAAAAAGCATTTGCCAGGTCGGAATGACTCCACCAGCACCAAGATAGAGTGCGGGGGGAATGAAATGAACTTGGAAAAAAATATTGACACTTTCCCTATTTGAAAATGAATATTGACTTTCAATTTATCTTCTATTTATGGCCCCTCAATAAAGCATGTGAGGGCTGGGAACCAGAAAGCTCCCAGAGAAACACCCAAGAATGGCCTGGCTCCCAGCTCGGAGTGGCAGATCTGTTTACTGAATTCTGGAACAGCCATGATTCAAACATTGTTTGCAATGTTCGTGTAGCCCGCTCGGTCCCAGGATATTAGCGAGACAGGATGGGTGAGGTAATAGCTTTTATTGGACCAACAACGTCTGTTGGAGAGACAGACATGCTTTTGAGCTTACACAGAGCTCGTCTTCAGGTCTGCAGGTTACACAAAATAATTATTCCCTTGGTAGGACTGTCATTTGTCTAGTACCTAAAGGAGATACTGTGTAAGGTTGAAAGCTTTTGTCTCTCACCAAGAGAAGTGAGCTATTACCTCACCCACCTTGTCTCTCTAATACTTTGGGACAAACAACCAACAAAATCAATTTTAATTTTTGCAGATTTTCAGTTTGCAAAAAATGTCAAGAATCTGCCTTTTCATCTCCATTTGAGGGTGGCAAAAAATTTTGAAATCATAACATTTTCCATGGGGCAGGAAATTGGCTTCCCGACCAGCACTAGTTATCAAGGCCCCTTGACACAAAACTTGTGTACAGCTCAGGATCCATCGATTTTAAGGTCCAATGGGACAATTATGGTTATTTAATTTGACCTCCTGCATAACACAGGTCAGAGATTCTCCACCCAGTAATTTCTGCATCAAGCCTGATAAGGTGTGGTTGAATGAAAGCATATCTTCTAGAAAGACATCCAACCCTTGTTGATTTAGAGACTCCAATGCCACCCTGCCTATTCAGGCCGCCCTCTGCCAGCTAGTCTGTCACTCATCACTTCCAGTACCGCATTTCTACCTAATTTGGTAATTTTGCTTTTCTATGGAATTAGAGAGGAGCTTTTCATCAGGAGTTCCCAAAAGATCTGACCCTTATAGGATCAGATACTTAAGTTAAAGGTTAGAATAGCAACCTCTCACAAAGCTTTCCTCTCTGCTGCACATTGTCTGTGGTCTGTTCATTGGAAATAAAGACCAACCAATTATGGAGTTGATCAGAAGCTAGGAATGGGTGAGACGGGATGGATCACTTGATGATTACCTGTACAGTTCGTCCCCACTGAAGCACCTGGCATTGGACCCTATCAGAAGACAGGATACTGGGCTAGATGGATCACTGCTGTGACCCAGTATGGCCATTCTTATGTCAGGTTACACAAAAGAATTATTCTCTTGGTTGGATTCTCATTTGTTTTCACAGCCACCCTTATGGCAGCATCCAGCACTTGGGGCCATGTCATATGCCCATAACTTCTGGCAAAACCTAGGCAAAATCTCCTCCAGAGTACTACAGCATATGACAAGGATGCTGGGCCTCTTTCCTGTACCCCTTTGCCCTCTAGAAGCACACTATATCATGACTGAGAACCCAGAAGTTACAGTGCAGATCCTCAGATCCTTGTCATATCTACCTTGATTCAATCGCGTTCTGGCAAGCTACACTAGCTGAGCATCTGCCACATAATTATTCTGAAGTTAGGTCAAAGGAGGAGTGCCTTAGTGGGATAATACCGAGACTCCCTGAAAACATAAATTTAAATACCAGCAAGGTTGACTCAACCCTTCATCCTTCCTAATTATTTTGATTGCCAGGCATTTTATGTACTCAGATACCACAGTGATGGGCACAGCATTAACACCTAGGTAGATTTACTGGAGGTGTGTCTCCTTCAGCTGGGACCTTGAAAAGAAGAGGTCCTGATTCATCACTGCATATGCTGTGGGGACGCCATTGATTTCAGTAATGGTGAATCTAGGCCAGAGGCTCTGTCTGGCAAATGATCCCCTGGCACTTTTTCTAGGAGTCCAGGTTCGTCCTTGACCAAAATTTCTCACTTCCCATCCCCACTGCGGGCGCCACCTGTCTGGTGAATGCATGTGAAGTTGGAAAGCATTCAGATCCTGCAGGATGAAATTGCGGGTATCAATGTGATTCATTATTCAGTGGCATGAAAGTAGATAAGAATCAAGGGCTTCTTTGTAAAGCACCACTAAACATCAGCCTCTACATCAAAGCTGTATCAATGGGTGTGGGTGGGGAAATTGTTGAGCTTCTTTTTCTGGTTCTCACACTGCTACCACACCCGAGACATTGCTCCTAGCTACCCTTCGCTCTGTGTAGGTACTGAACTAACAATGCATCCGATGAAGTGAGCTGTAGCTCATGAAAGCTCATGCTCTAATAAATTGGTTAGTCTCTAAGGTGCCACTAGTCCTCCTGTTCTTTTTTTGACCTAACAAAATACACAGAGATGGATGAGGGAAGAACATGCCCAGATGGAACTTCACAGAAGAGTTTTCCACCACTAGGGAGCAGATCGCCTCTGGGCAACAAAACAGCTGTGTCACATTTTTAAAGAATATACTGCGTGTATCAGAACAATGAGCTGCTAGATCATTGCCTTGGTCTTAGCAATGGGAAGAGGGACCCGCCATGTGGATTGTGCCCATCCAAGGAGTTCTTTGTGTCTGGTTGGACATGGACAATCATTTCACACATCCCCCACTTCCCAGGCCCTGGGAGCAATTCACCAAAAAAAGTTGGGACAGGCTGAGGCTGCTGGACACATTGTGCAGCTCCCCCTCCCCTCTCTGTTGGGTGTTTCTGCGGGAGGGATTGCCCTGCATGGAAAAGTCCCTGACTGTGCACTTCCCTCCCAAAGGACCTGGTGGAAGCCCTTTCACTAGTTTCTTTTTCTAGACGGTGTAAAATGCTCCCATATATACTGGAGGGAACAATCCTACATAAGGCAGGGGGATGGGTTAAACGGGCTACAGAGTCTCTTCTATCTTGGATTAGTAAAATTTAGAAGAAGAAAACCCCCAGCTGCTTAGTAAGTCCCTGCAAATGCTGTAATGCACAGGTAACATAGTGCTTAGTTACTCTCATTTCTTCTGCTCTAGAACAGGCTTTGTGAGGCTTAGAACAAAAGTGACTGCTAACTCCCCTGGCTGCACAATGTCCTCATGTGACAGAGCTTTTACGTCCCCCAGAGAGAGCAAATAAAATCAGCCCCCTTCAATGCAAACAAGAGCCAGTATAAAACCTGAAAGGGAGCAAGCCAGAGGTCTGCTTGCTGATTTACTAGCTCTTCTTTTGTTACATTCAATTCAGCCTTCCAGGCAGCAAAATGAATTACATGCCTATGTAGGGTGTGGGGGGAGGTATCTCCAAAGAGAGGTTGGGATACACAAAAATCACTTTAGCTGCAAATAGGGCCCAGATGTTGATATTTACATCCCTAGACATGAAAATACACCGTTCAATACGGCACATGGACAAGTGGCTGTGACTTACCCGAAGAGAGTGAGTTTTAAAAATCACTAGCTGGGTTTCTTATTCTTTTCACTGGTTATTTCTAGAAGTTAAAAAGGCAGATTCTCAGCTGGGGTCAGTTGTCATCACTCCATTGCCTTCAATAGAGCTAGGGCCAATTACACCAGCTGCGGATCTGCCCCACGAGGATCAAAATGAATGTAGATATGCACGTACATTTTCACAGCCAGAGCTATCACACACATGTGCTTTAAGGGCATGATCCCACTGGAGTCAATGGAACATTTCCTGTTGACCTTCATTGGCATTAGGCCCCAAGCAGCTGCATTCAGTCCAGATTATCATTCCAATTCAAATGCCAGATGCTTTACACTTCACACCTTTCTGCAGGGAGGTGTCACGGGGCAGCCCACCAAGCCTAGGCTAGCAGCACACATCTCCAGGGCTCTGAGTGGGCGGGAGAGTGCCCTGAGGAAACCCCTATTTCCAGCCTCCCCCAGAACAGGGGCTGGATCGAGCACTGCCAGGAACTTTAAAAAGAAGTTTCACCTTGGAAAGAACAAGCTACAGAATCACAGAACTGTAGGGCTGGATGGGGCCTCCAGGGTGCACACAACCCCCAGGATGAGTCAGGACCAAGTCAACGTAGGCCAACCCAACAGGTGTTTGTCCAACCAGTTCCTAAAACCCTCCAATGAGGGGGATTCCACACCCTCCCAAGGAGCCTGTTCCCAGGGTGGTTGTGGACTTCCTTCCTCTCAATTTTTAGGAACAGGTTGGACAAAGATGCCTGTCTGGTAGGGGGAACCTGGAATGAAACCAGCCCTGCACCGGCCAGTTCTCCTTCACCACCTACTTCCCCTGACACCCTCCCCGCTTGCTCTTGCCAGTGCTGAATGCATTACAGGAGGTAGCCCAGCCCCAGGGATGAGTGACCCAGTCCAGCCCTATGGGGGGATCTCTGCTACCCCGTCCCCAGATCAGCACAAACACCTGCCCAGCTCCCCCTCCTGCAATGGGACCCCCTCACCTCCTGGAGCCCTCCTGCTCACATGCACCCTGCATCTCCCTCTAGCCAGAGGAACCCACCAGGCCCCCTCCTCCTAACTCTTGTCCAGTGCTACCCCCATGGGAGCAGTGCCTGAGGCAGGGCTGAGTCGAGGGGCAGCCCCAGCTGTTGCCCCGATTCCCACAGGCCCTGGCACTGTCTCCTTCCCCCCTGAATTTGGTGAGAAATCAGGGGGCGGTGGCTAGCTCGAGAGCCCTGGGCTGCAAAGGGTCTGCCCTTGGGGGTGCAAAGGTGGGGTGGGGGGGGGGGGAGGTGGTCTATGGCCAGCCCAGCCCCATCCCAAGCTACCTCCAACCAGAACCCCATCCCACCCCCGAACGGGCCAGCCTCTGCCCCCAGCCCCCTCCAGAACCCCCCAACTGCCCCCTTCCGACCCCATCATACCCCAATCCCATCCCACCCCCCTTCCGACCCCCATCCCAGTCCTCAGTCCCACTCACCCCCCAGAACCCCCAATTCTGCCCGCTTCCGACCTCATGACACCCCAATCCCATCCCACCCCCTTCCGACCCCCATCCCAGTCCTCAGTCCCACTCACCCCCAGCCTCCTCCAGAAGCCCCCAACTGCCCCTTCCGATCGCATCACACCCCAACCCCATCCCACCCCCTTCCGACCCCCATCCCAGTTCTCAGTCCCACTCACCCCCAGCCTCCTCCAGAAGCCCCCAACCGCCCCCTTCCAACCCCATCATACCCCAATCCCATCCCACCCCCCTTCCGACCCCATCACAGTCCTCAGTCCCACTCACCCCCCAGAACCCCCAACTGCCCCTTCCAACCCCATCATACCCCAATCCCATCCCACCCCCTTCCGACCCCCATCCCAGTCCTCAGTCCCACTCACCCCCAGAACCCCCAACTGCCCCTTCCAACCCCATCATACCCCAATCCCATCCCACCCCCCTTCCGACCCCCATCCCAGTCCTCAGTCCCCTCACCCCCAGAACCCCCAACTGCCCCTTCCAACCCCATCATACCCCAATCCCATCCCACCCCCTTCCGACCCCCACCCCAGTCCTCATTCCCACTCACCCCCCAGAACCCCCAACTCTGCCCGCTTCCGACCGCATCATACCCCAATCCCATCCCACCCCTTCCGACCCCCACCCCAGTCCTCATTCCCACTCACCCCCCAGAACCCCCAACTCTGCCCGCTTCCGACCGCATGACACCCCAATCCCATCCCACCCCCTTCCGACCCCCACCCCAGTCCTCTGTCCCACTCACCCCCCTTCAGACCCCCCCAGCTCTACCCCCCTTCCGACCCGACCCCTCTTCCAATCCTACAGTCCCGGCCCAGTTCCCACCCCCCTGCCCTCACCCCGGACTTCAATCCCCCCACCCCCCCCGTGCAGCCCCCCATGCCCCGGCACCCACCGTTCGCACAGCTGCGGTTCCCCCACAGCGGCTCCATGGGCTCGCTCCAGGAGCAGCGGAGCCAGATCCGGATCGCAGGCGGGTGCGTGTGTCCTGTCCCCGGGGCCGATGCCTCCCACTCCCGGCTGCCTCCTCTGCCCCTCCTTTGCGAGGAGCGGCACCTAGGACCTCGCCCTGCCTGTGCTGAGCTGGAAAGTTGCTCCCGGCTGGGCTGGGTGTGCACCTGCTCCAGCCGGATACTCCACTGAATCAGGCTTCTCCTCCCCCTGGCTCATCGCACTGCAGCCTCCCCAGCCCCAGGGACTCCCCTCGCTGCCTGACCTAGGGCCCAGTCCCCCGCACTCAGGAGGGCCGAGGAGGTGAGTCTCTGCTTCATGCAGAAAAAAGGGAAGGGATCAAACAAACTCCTAGGTCCAAAGGCTCCACGCGAGCGTGCGGGAGTGTGTACATGCGAGTGCCGCGCTCACCCAGGTGGGTGGGTGTAAGCGATGCTCTGAAAACGCGCCCGCTCTCCCAAAAAGAACAGGGGGACTTGTGGCACCTTAGCGACTAACCAATTTATTTGAGCATAAGCTTTCGTGGGCTACAGCTCACTTCATCGGATGCATTGTATTTTCCACTGCATGCATCAAGCTTATGCTCAAATAAATTGGTTAGTCGCTAAGGTGCCACAAGTCCTCCTGTTCTTTTTGCAGATACAGACTAACACGGCTGCTCCCCTGAAACCTCTCTCCCCAGTAATCACGCAAACCCGGCATGTGTGTGTGCACATCTGCTACTGAGTGTGCACAAAATACACTGTGAGCGTGAGCACAATCACCCGACCTGCCCATGCAAACACTGCTGGAAAAGGTGGCCTGGTATTTTTTGTGAGTTTCCTTTGCACTTTCTGCGCACACTTGACTCTCGCTGTGAAGCATTCTGGGGTATTTTGGCTACGTGGGATGCCAGGTTAATAAAAAAAAGTGTCCCACAGGTGCCACAGCAAAACTAGGGATGGCTGACCAGCCGATCGATCAGGGTTGAAATTCCTGTGTGCCCCTCAATAGCTCAGTCCTTCACCGTTCTGAGATGGGCCCTGAAGAGATGCAAGGTCCAGGAATACTTCAGGAGACAGGGATTTCTCCTGGGGGCTTTGTTTTTCTCCTTGTTTCTGCTTGGGGCTAACAGGGAGAACTTGCACTAACTGCCATTAAATACGAGGGCCACATAGGTCGTTCGTTAGCACAGGGGATAGCTAGCCAGCATGGTTCAAGCGGAGTTCCAGGGGAGCATAGCTGAATATTGTCTGACCAAACTGGGCGTAATATTAAATCAACCCAATAAATGACTTACACGGTAGCATGCAGGACCTTGTATTTACAGAGCAAGACATGTACCATGGAGCAGAAATTAAAAGCAAATAAGAGGCTTTTTAACAGAACACTGAGCTAATAAAACACATGCACATTCGTACCGCAGAGAATATCTACTTTTACTAAAAGAGATTTCGCATGCAGATATTAACCTATTCAAAGAAATAGTTCCGAAGGGCTTGTGTTGTTTTAAATATTGGTAGAAATTATTCTTATGTACTTAGTACTGTAGCCAGCCACTGCATTTTGCGTTTTGGGGCTTTCAGAGAGGTTTGAAGGAAGAGAAGGGAGACAGATGTGTTTGAATTCAACCACAAATTGGTGAATTCAGGGAGCATTGGGTGAAATCTATGGTCTGTGTTATGCGGGAGGTCAGACTAAATGAGCCCAGTGCCTGCCCGCCCAGCCTTGAAATCCATGAATCTTTGACGCTGAACTAATGGTGATTGAGAGGCTCTTCCATGCATGCACAGAGTTAGCAATGACAGATAATGACAAAAACAACGGGACATAATTTCAATGGGACTGCTTGCATATTTCGTGTGAGTACAAATATCACTAACTACCAGCAATGTACTGTCAGGAGTGGAGCTAAGCAAAATACAGAAGAAAGATTTAAGTAGGGGAAGGGGCTTGGACACGTCAGGTTTCTGTCATAGCAACTTCTTACAGGAGCAAACCCATTAAAATTACACCATATGTAGAACAAGTTCGATCATTTAAAAGCTCTCCCTTGCATTGTGAAATTCCATCCAGAAAGGATGTGAGACAAACGTGAGGGTGGAGAAGCAACTCAAGGAATGTAATGGGCTCAGTTCTACTCCTATTAACATCAGTTTGAATGTTGCCACTGACTTCAGTGGGAGGAGGATCTGTTGTTGTTTTCTAATGTGTTCCATAGTGAATAGAAGCAATGCACGTGCATTTTCTAAATGCACGGGGCAGACAAACAGGTTGTTTGATAACCACTTTAATATGGCCATGGGGTTGGACATCTCTGACAAAGGGCCCAGAGCCTTCATCAGCATACCTGGGACTTCTTAGCTTTCCAAAGCATCTGATTTGTGCTACCCCATTAGTACAGTTCTAGGAGCTCAAAGGGAAAGCGGAGTGAAAACTGTCCAGCGAGCAACTCAGTTATATTACATTTTTAATGCAGCCTAACCATTGCATGCCCAACTTAAAGGTATAGAGAGGTGGGGATTGCAAATCACCATCGAGGGTCTTACAATTGCACCAAGTGGCCAAAGGGAATTAGGCACCTTTTGTAGTGATAATTAAGGCGGCCCATTTAGACAGTTGACAAGAAGGTGTGAGGATACTTAATGTGGGGAAATAGATTCAATATGTGTAATTACATAATTCTTGTCAACGGTCTAAATGGGCCATCTTGATTATCACTACAAAAGTTTTTTTTCTTTTCTCCTGCTGATAATAACTCATCTTAATTAATTAGCCTCTTACAGTTTGTATGGCAACTCCCACCGTTTCATGTTCTCTGTATATGTATATATATATCTTCTTACTATATGTTCCATTCTATGCATCCGATGAAGTGGGCTGTAGCCCACGAAAGCTTATGCTGAAATAAATTGATCAATTATGGTATTTCTGCTCATGTCCGAGACAAATTATTATGAGTCAGTTTTAATGTTGGAGATCCGGTCATCCGGCACTAACACAGCTTCCTTCCCTCCCTCTCACCACCGCTGTGTATTGTGACTGTATGTACACAGCAACCCACTGTGGACACAACAGCCCCTGCCCTTTCATCAAGTGAGTCCACTAACCAACTCAAGCTGGAAGTCTGTAGAGATAAGTTTCCACGGTAAACATCTGATGAAGTGAGCTGTAGCTCACGAAAGCTTATGCTCAAATAAATTGGTTAGTCTCTAAGGTGCCACAAGTACTCCTTTTCTTTTTGCGAATACAGACTAACACGGCTGTTCCTCTGAAACCTCTAGAAACTGCCTTGTTTTTCGTTATTCAGCCGTAATGGCCTTATCAGTGCGGGGCCATTATGTTGTTTCCCCAGCAAATGTGAAGCTCATTTTTTTGTTGGTCATTTGACTTTTATCAGGGCTTCCCATCGTAGCTCCAGACCAGGAGGTCACTGGTTTAGACAGATTGCAGCAGCTGAATAAAAATGCTTCTTAACTTTATCACACAATCAATCCAAACCACGTGCCCACAGTTTTTAGCATAAAAAAAATACAGGATGGTTTCTGGTCTCAGCAAGTCTTGGGCTAAATCCTGCCATTGTTACCCAACCCGTCTTCAGGCAAAATGCACATTGTGAGTGCGGGTGAGTTTATAAGGGCCAGGCAATGACTGCAGGATTTGCCTCCTGAGTTGGTAATTTCACTGGTGGATGCAGGTTAGCAACCATGGTATCGGCACACTCTTGTATGTACCAGATGTCTGACTGTGAGCTTCAGGGAGATGGTTGAATATGATGAACGCTCTGTATGCATTGCCTGACTAAATTAAACTCACTCCAGTGTTGCTTCCTGTCTGTAAAATGGGGATAATCTTTCTTCCTTTTTCCCACTGTTGGCCTGTCTTGTCTATTCAGGTGGCACATTCTTTGGGGCAGGTTCTGTCTCTCACTTTGCGTTGTCCAGTTTCTAGTACAATGGGCCTTGATCTCAGTTGGGGTCTCTGGGTGCAGCTATAGTCATAAAAAAGGGAGAGGTTTGATGTTACATTGTGTTCACAAAAAGAAAAGGAGGACTTGTGGCACCTTAGAGACTAACCAATTTATTTGAGCATAAGCTTTCGTGAGCTACAGCTCACTTCATCGGATGCATGACACGGCTGCTACTCTGAAACCTGTCATTGTGTTCACACTAGGTCCTGTAATCCTGTATGAAACCATTTTCAAGCACCTTTGTGGCTGCACAGTTTATGTCCATATGGAACATGGTCACAAACTTCTTCAGAAACTATGCTTTGGACTTGCTCTGGGGGCTGCAGCTCCCTGCGGCAGGGACTGTCTTTTTGTTCTGTGTTTGTACAGCACCTAGCACAACAGGCTCCTGGTCTGTGACTGGGGCTCCTAGCACAGCTATGCAAATTATTATTTTGCAAGAATAATAGTAATTAATAAATACAAGGCACCATTTCTGCTAGCATAGCTGGGGAAAAAAAAAGTGTCCCTGCACATACTAGGTATTTAAACTGTACGACACCAGTGCTAGCTACACACATGTTGGGAAATGATTCAGAACTGTCCTTGGCAAACCCTCTTTAATAGGGTTGTAACTAGCTCAGCTCAGATGCCAGTGTGGACAGGGCTGGAGAACTATAGGGAAAGTGATGGGGTGTACACTCCACACTGGCAGCAAAAGGGTTAATAGGAGCCTGAGGGCTTCAGTTAGCAGCACCTGGAGGGTGTGGAGAACCAATTTATTCCCAGGCCCAGCTGGGGGAGGAGTGGGAGAGGGCTAGAAGGAAAGAAGCAAGTTTGGGGGGGGGAGAGTAGGCCTTGGGATCCTCTCCTGAGATGGGCATTTGCACAGTAGGTGGGGAGAGATATGGAGAAACCACAGGAGTGGGTGAGCCCCTGCAGGGAGCCTTGAGAAAAGGGCAGGAAGTGGATTGCTGGGGAGGTGTTGCTTGCCACTGGAGTTGGAAGGGACTCTGCAGAGCCTAGAAAGGGGCTGGTGGAAGGAGTAGGAGGGAGCAGACCTTGGCTGCTAACTAGAGTCCCTGGACTAGAACCTGCAGTAGAGGGAGGGCCTGGGTTTCCCTACTGCCCACCAAGGAAGGTGGCATGAAACAAGAGGTATAGACTCCTGGAAGCCCAGAGACAAGGGATGTAAGGCTCACTTGGCCCAGAATCATGAGCTGAGGTCTGACATAGGGGTGTGGAACAGCTTCTGAATGAGGAGAGATTTAAAACAAGACTGGGATTGTTCAGCTTAGAAAAGAGATGACTAAGGGGAGATATGAGGGAGGCCTATAAAAATCATGACAGGTGGGGGGGAAAGTGAATAAGGAGTGTTATTTACTCCTGCATATAACACAAGAACCAGGGATCACCCAATGTAATTAATAGGCAGCAAGTTTAAAACAAGCATAAGGAACTACTTCTTCACACAAGGCACAGTCAACCAGTGGAACTCATTGCCAAAGGATGTTGTGAAGGCCAAGACTATAACAGGGTTCATAAAAGAACTAGATAAGTTCATGGAGGATAGGTCCATCAATGGCTATTAGCTAAGATGGTCAGGGATGCAACCCCATGCTCTGGGTGGCCCTAAACCTCTGACCGCTAGAAGCTGGGACTGGACAACAGGGGATGGATCACTTGATAAATTGCCCTTCTACAGGGAATATAAAATTCTCAGCTTCAGGTGAGAGAAAATGTTCCTGGTTGTTTTTAGCTGCCTAATAGAACTAGGATGAGAGAATTACTAAAAAAAAAAAAAAAAAAGAGAAGCAAAGGAAATCATGATGCCTCATTTTACTGACCCCATCACTGCTTCCCTGGGGCTACTTCATCACCTGGGAGTTTTGTCCTGATTTATGTGCCCGGTGAGCTTCTGTCCATGTGTGATGTAAATGGCGGCATCACCACTGAAGGCACAGTGCAGTTAATTTGCCTTCATAAACAGCTGCTTTTAAGAGGTTTGATCCCTGCAATTTTTGTCAAACCTGCAATTTACCAACTGGGTTCAAAGCGATTTGTTTCCCCATCAGAAGGAAGGTCACTGCAGTAGAAGGTCTTTGAGATTGTGGTTGCTGAGGAAATAAAAGGGTAGAAAAGGGGGAGACATCAGATTTCCTCCCCATTCTGGTGATAATGTGACACATGCATGCTTGTTAGCAAAGGGCACCTTCACAAGCAGTTGTTGACCCAAACAGAGAGAATATTAAGCAGGGCCTGCTGGGAGGGTTTAATATCTGCTCCATCTTACTGCTGCAGGGTGATGCCCCCAGGCTGCTATTAAAGCAGAAATATGTTCCTGGTCTGCAGTCCTGGTAGCTTAGGCCTTGCCTGTACACATCGTGGCACTGATTTCACTGAATTGCTTAAACCCATTCAGTGAAAAAAGTGGTGCAAACCTTGGTGTAGACACATGCCATTTTAAGCCTGACCTATCCATTTAGCTTGTGTTGGTTTAACTGACACCGGTAAATTGACCTGGCTAACAAGTTTTAAACCAATACGAGTGTCCAGAGTGAGGTTTGCAGCAGTTTAAATCAATTTCAAAACTAAGTTAGTTAAATTAAACCAGTGAAACTGCTGTGTGTGGACAAGGGGTCGGTCTTGGTAAAGGGGCTGGCTGAATAAATGTTCCGTCCTAACATTCTGCCATTCACGCAATGTTAGCACATGCACTATTGGGTTCTTTATGAGCCATTGCTTTGAGAAAGGGAGAGATGGCTCCTGCACTTAGAATGATTTGACCATTAATTAAATTAAAGATAAGCAGAGTCACAACTGGAGCATCATATTCACCAGGTTTATAGTCCCAGACCTGACCTTATGTGGCCAGAGAGCTCATCAACAGAAAACTAAGAGAAGGAACCTGTAGAAAGGGACAAAACAGGGTCAATAATCTCAGGCACTGTATAAATGTGAAGATTTTTCCAGATGTATTGTCTCTGGAAAAAAATGTCTGTCACACGTGTGTGCAATCCAGCATTTTTGTTTCATTGAAACTTTGTCCTTTGATTTTGTATAACTTCACCCACAATTAGCTCTGTGAGAAATTCTGATCTAGTGTTATTATTACATGGAATAACTAAGAAACATCTTCAAAACATTGTACAAACGTTGACTTATAAATGGCTTGTGTGTTTTTTGCATTGAAATGACCTCTTGCAAGGGTTTGATGCAGTCTTACCTTCACTCCAAAATGCGTGGGATTTGTTGGGAACACATGCAGGTATCTTAATGACATGTCTCCTGAACATAGAAATATGACAGCTTTGTGCCTTTTCACTACTTCCCCTGACAATTGCTTACCCACAAACAGACAGGAACCTTTTCCGGCTGAGATGTGCCTGAGTAGCCTAGCCCCAGCTCATTTTTTGTTGCCATCATCATAAATATATACACAAGTTCCTTGTCTCCTCTCCCTGTCCCATTGGCATGAGCCTCGGAGTGGGCTTCTCCCCTCCCTGTGCAAAGTGACTATAGATTAGAAAAGTGACAAGCTGGGTGAAGTGATATCTTTTATTGGACCAACTTATATTGGTTTCAGAGGAACAGCCGTGTTATATTGGTGAGAGAGACACGCTTCTCTGTCTTATCAATAGAAGTTGGTCCAGTAAAAGATTTAAATTTTTTTATTAAAGCTAATGTTAAAAAAATTAATATAATACAAAGGTAGGGAAAAGAGTGTCTGTACATCTGGTTTCAGAGTAGCAGCCGTGTTAGTCTGTATTCACAAAAAGAAAAGGAGGACTTGTGGCACCTTAGAGACTAACCAGTTTATTTGAGCATAAGCTTTCTTGAGCTACAGCTCACTTCATTGGATGCATTCAGTGGAAAATACAGTGGGAAGATTTATATACCCATTGTTTCATGTTCTCTGTGTATATAAATCTCCCCACTGTATTTTCCACTGAATGCATCCGATGAAGTGAGCTATAGCTCACGAAAGCTTATGCTCAAAGCAATTGGTTAGTCTCTAAGGTGCCACAAGTCCTCCTGTTCTTTTTGTACATCTGGGTATAGTGCTTAGATTATCCACAACTATAAAGTTAGTTTTTAAAAGTCATATGATAGAGTACATAATCAGCAATAACCCAAATTTAGGTGAATAGATTTAACAGTACAGTTTAGATATTCCGAACACTCAGATATATCACTTGTGAAAAGTTGTACAGAGATTTGGTTGTAGAAAGCAAAATATATCAGTGAGTGGCGACTGTCCCTCAGTAATTGAGAATTAGGTTAGTTGTCCATTTAGAAAATACAACATTACTTCACCCACCTTGTCTCTCTAATAGCCTGTGATGGACATGGCTACACGTACGCTGCAAACAAATTAGAATAATCGCATCTGACTCATTCTACACAACACAGATGTACAGTATCTGATATGAGGATTAAGGCCACGGGGAATCAGGCTATAGAGTTATAATAACCTTTGCCACTGCATTTAGTCACTTGCAAGTTCAGACAGGTGACAAGAAAGCCTGGCAAAGCAATGAATTCTTCTATCTGCTCTGTTTAGCTATCCCACTTTTGAATGGAAAAGGCTGCTCCAATTTGTCTCCCATAAGTCACTGGACCCACCTCTCAGCTATTTATTACCTCATTTGCTGGGATTTATCTCATATGATTTCTTAAAATAAATAAATAAATAAATAAATCAGAGCCCTCCCCCATTTTCTGAAACCAGGGAGTCCTCATCCTCGGCTCATCTCTTAGCAATGTAGTTACACCTGAAATACTGGTTTACAAACCATGTGCAAGATGAGGGGAGGATAAGACCATTTTAAGTGTGACTAATACCCTCAGCAACATGGAACAGCCTTTCCTTTCAGCCTCTCCCCCTTCCACTCACATACCCCAGCCTAGGAACGTAATGGAACAACTCAGGATATCAATTATCCTCCATTAGAAATAAGATGAAAACTTCATGCTGAATCTGTTGCCACTGGATGCCTAATAAGTGAAATTGCTTTGGAAACATGCTTCCGAAGAACAGGGCGGAAACATTCTACTGTGGTGTGGTGTAATCTGAGAGCCTGAAGGAAGAGAGTCTCCTGCTTCAAATGGGGGAGAGATCCTTTTCCTATTGATAATGAGCTGATTGCCATGGGGGTTCGGGGAATTGCCTGTTTTTCAGATGATCGCCTTTTAAGAACATGGGGGGAAAAGCTTGAAAAACTGGACTTCAGTAGGAAAACAGCCTTTTATTTAGCAGTTCTCAACATAACCGTTGTCTGGGGATGAGCTAGTGGTTCCAGTGTTGCTCACTCTCATGACAGAATAATATTTAGACTGGGGTCATGTTATTTCACAAAAATCTATTTCATCAGAAAAAAAGTTTCTAGACTTCGTGGTTATGGAAAAAAGGGTTAAGTGTGACCCAAGTATATCGTAAAGGCTCAAAAAGTAAATTAACAGAACTCCACATTTATTTATTTAAAATCTCCTTTCTGGAGGGCTTTACTCATATTTTTGAATGTGTGACATTGGCAATACTGTTTTACAGCAGAGGCCTGTCCATCTGGGGTCCCCTGGGCTCTATTCCTGGCTCTGCACTGGCCCAATAATGACGGTAGAATACCAGACAGCCTGGCAGCTTTCCCAGGGGGTTGCAGTGTTAAGATGTGCTATATTTTCTGGGGAGTTTTCTTTTGCACCCCTCACTGATGTTTGCACTTCCCCCAAGAAGCAATTGTAGGTGAATTCCTGCAGGCAAAAGGCCAAGACAGGGTTTTCCTCAAGAAGAAGCAAGTCACATGTCCCATCTTGCTGCCATGCGATGTTTACGGCCTCCCTGTTCGCCTTTGTATCCATGACAGGAGAAGACAAGTAGCAATTGATATGCACGGGCATCAAGTGCTGAGGGAGGGGGAAACTCACTGTTATCTGCTCTTGATCCAGAGACAGGCTTAATGCCTGGCAATTTGCAGCTCAGGTACAGAGATTCCACTAGACTAGTGAGGATAACTATAGGGACATTCATTAGAGGCTTCCAGGCATCAGATCAAGTGGATTCTGTAAGGACAAAGTGCAGAGGCAGAGTGATACACTGTTCCAAAGGTCATTTTGTTTGCAGATCCCTTATCTGCAAAACACTTACTCCAAAACTTGAAATCAAGTGAAACTCAGATGGTTGGGTTTTGTTGGGGGGAAGAGAGGTTGTTACAAACATGAAAGGCACCCTGGGTGTGTGGAAATGTTGGACACTAGTTTTGAGCAAATGTGGGCAGTTTTGAGCCAAATAATGAAACAAGAGTAATGAGATAATATGTTTTGCATTTACGTAGTTCCTTTAATCTGATTTTGTCTGTCAGCCAGACTCATTCCCCAGCTATTCTTTATGCAAAAGTTCTATAGAACTGAAAAAAAGGAATTCTGTCCCTGCTGTAGAATTTCATTCAATTGTTTTCAAACCCACGCGAACACTACAAACAACATAAAGAAAGGATCCCATTCTATTTCAATGGATGCCTATACGTTTTGTTCCTATTCACTTTCAGAGGCCTTTCCCATAAACAATCATGTGAAGCTGTCTTTTTAAGGTGGCCCTGCCACAGACAGAGTGTGCTCTTAAGGCAGGAGTATCTTTTTAGGTTCTGTGAATTTGATTCAGTTAAATTGATTTTCCCTCCTTTCCCCCACCCACAGTCCTGTGCTAAAAATTACCTTTGTCTCTTCAGCTGTACTGACTCAAGCTACATTCGTACAGCGTAACCGGTTCCAGGGAGGGTCAGTCCTCCCCCCCCAGATATTCTGGTTTAACTTGAATTTAAACTTGGAGAGTGGTCAGTTTAGATGAGCTATTACCAGCAGGAGAGTGAGTTTGTGTGTGTTTGGGGGTGGGGGGGAAGTGAGAAAACCTGGATCTATGCAGGAAATAGCCCGACTTGATTATGTAAAGAGTTGTCACTTTGGATGGGCTAGCACCAGCAGGAGAGTGAATTTGTGTGGGGGGGTGGAGGGTGAGAAAACCTGGATTTGTGCTGGAAATGGCCCACCTGCTGATCACTTTAGATAAGCTATTACCAGCAGGACAGTGGGGTGGGAGGAGGTATTGTTTCATATTCTCTGTGTGTATATAAAGTCTGCTGCAGTTTCCACGGTACACATCTGATGAAGTGAGCTGTGGCTCACGAAAGCTCATGCTCAAATAAATTGGTTAGTCTCTAAGGTGCCACAAGTACTCCTTTTCTTTTTGCGAATACAGACTAACACGGCTGTTCCTCTGAAACCAGTCCTGGGACAGGAGAGCTTGAAGAGACTTCTAAGTGATGCAGGCTACAATGGGAATGATCCAAAATCTGGCACTCTTTCCTCTCTGATCATTACAGAAGCAGTCCCTCCACCTGGTGTTAAGCGGGCATTGTGCTTCAAGAGGTGCCTGAGATTTAAAACCAAAGTCCTGACCACTTTAGGCCAGTAAAGATAGGATGCACTGACGCAAGTGTGTTTCCTCTGCATTGCAGCTTCTACGGTGCCCTTAGAGGGAACCAAAGCATGAAGGGTGCATCCAAGTGGCACTAACCCCTGGGAGAAGGTGACAGCGAGAACCTGGTGGAGTGCAGAAGCCCCTTTTGACACAGCAAGCTGTGTTAGTGCAGTGAATCTGGACCATAGTTCAAAACTGTGTTGAGTCGGGCTTGTCCGCTCTTCCATCAAAGCTTTGTGTGTGTGACTGCGAACTGGGTTTGCAACTCAATGAAATTATTTTGCAGAAAGTGTCTGTTTTCCCTTGAAATTTTTCATCTTTCTTATTGTTGGAAAAGGAGGAGCCTGAAACATGAAGAATGTTTGGGTTTCGACAAAAAGTCAAAATTTTCAGCAACATTTAACAGCCTGCCATTTTCGCAGGCATAATTTGACATAATTTAGGATTTGCCCATTTCTCCAATGAGCCCCACTTTTATTTTTCCCAATTACAAAAAGCATCCCACATTTGTTGTACACATTGGTGGTTGCTGTGTCAGGGGACATATTGCCAGGTACCAGGTGCTTTATCGTCACAGAAGCATTTTTAATAGAGATGGAAGCTTCTGTTGACCAACACAGGAACAACAACAAAAAATACAAAACATCATCTCCGGCTGCACAGCATTCATGAATTAACACCATATTCAATCACAAGCAGAAATATACTTCACCATAAATAAATTTAAATTCATTGTACAAAAATCCCCAAGTAGCTCTTCGTACAAATATGGTACATTGGACAAGTGTTCTTGCAAACATTTTTTTTTAAACGTTCAAGAACAAAGTTTTGCTCTGGTTCACAAACACATAAACCAACTGAATTGGAATAATATAGGAGAAAAAGGACAAGAGTGTTCACCGCTCCTAACAAGTGTTGTTGGAGAAAAGAATGCCATTGAAGTAGAGTTTGAGTTGGTTTGATTTCCCCTTTCTACTGGGCTGCTCAAAATCAAGTACATCATCATCAAGGAATGGGGCTGTGCACTGCATTTCATAGATTTTTAAGGCATGAAGGGATCATTATGATAATCTAGTTGGACCTCCTGCATAACTCAGGCCACAACATTTTATCCACTAATTGCTGTATCAAACCCAACAACTTCTGTGTGCATATAAGGAACACATACATCCAGTCTTGATTTAAAGACTCTGAGGGCATATCTACCCTGGAATGTAAGCCCAGGGTTAGTAGAACTTCAGTGAGCAGACCATGTGTTTATTAGGCCTTGAGAGTCTACATTCATCTGTAAACCGCCCCCGCCCCACCACCCCTCCCACCCCCGGGTAGGAATTGTTGAACCCTGAGGCGCCAGCATCTACACTGCATTATTTGGACCTGAGTCCAACAATCCATGTCCCAGACTTGCTAGTGCCCTCCCTCCCCAAAACGTGGCTGCTCTAGCCTTTTGTTAGTGATGCAGAGTGGAGAAACCTGACTGTCCAGAAGACATAGAAAGTTAGCCCATGGGATTGTAGGATACTTTTGGTGGTACCCAGAGCAAGGATCCAAGCCCTGGGTTAGCACAATTTGTGTGTAGACGGTAGGCTTGAATCTGAGTTCGAACCCTGGGCTTACTCTGCAGTGTAGACATATCCCAAGTGCTGGAGGATTTACCACATCCTTTGGTAATCTGTTCCAGTGGTTAGTTACCCTCACTGTTAATAATTTGCATCTTAAAGACTAAAGATTATTAGATTAAAAAGAACAAGCAAAACAGAAAAGGTTATCCAGTTCATTCAATGGCCCTATCTTGAAATCTTTACTAAATATGCAGTCAAAAAGGATTTGAGAACAGGAGCTAAGATCTACACAACTGACTTGCATCCTTTTGGTAGAAAAGGGTATTGAAATCAAGTTGCATGAATAAAGGTTGTATGACTGAGCCCTTGCTGCCATCCCACACTACTTGAGCACCAGCGTAAAACACCCGCATAAGCCCTACAGCTGAAATATACTCGGTTTTAATCATACGGCTTTGGTTTCCTGCTCAGAATTTTTTATTCTTCCCCCCCTCCCCCAACAGGTCCTGAGAAGGGTGGGGAGGTCATTTTGTTCAAGCAAATTCCCCATGCATGGACAACAGACACATATATTGGTCCATGCATTCCATTTCAGCTCATCCAACTGTGCTTTATAGGCCTCAAGAACTAATCCCCTAAAACAACAGCTAAAGAACATTACATTTCGCAAGCTGATGTTCATACGTGGTGAAATACACCACACCTCATTCACAGCCTAAGTGCTGGAAGACAGGCTCTAATCGCATACAGCCAAGTGTGTCTAGCTGCTGGAGCTAGGCCGTGTGGTACACTTCACCCTTATATATTAACCTTGTAGTGTTTTGTGCCACAACCAGGCCCACCGACAGAAATTCCGGGCCCCTAGGGAGGCGAAGCCCAGGGTGGAAGTGATGAATTTGTGACTTCCAGGACCGCCTGCAGGAGCCAATTGCACTGGCCTGTGGGGCCCCCCAAAACGCGAGGCCTGCAGCAGTCGTGCGCACCTAGGAGGCCTGCAGGCTTGGACTGCGACCCCTCTTCCCCCACCTGCGGGGTGGGGGGAAGGCCTCGGGCTTCGGCCCCCTCTCCCCCACCTGAGGTTGAGGGGCTTGGGCTCTGTGCCATTCCCAGGGTCATGCAGTGACTTTGTTGTCAGAAGGGGGTCGTGGTGCAATGAAGTTTGAGAACCCCTTTAGCCCAAGAAAAAATACCATTTAGGATCTTTTCTGTCATCTCATTTCACACACAAAAAAATAACATACCTGATGTCCCCACTCTGCTAACCCAGATTTTTTACACGTATGTAGGTCCACTGACTTCAGTGTAGTAACATCAGGCTGATGTAACAGAGCAGGGAACCAGGCCTTTCATCCTTAGTAGAGGAGCAGTTATCATATATAAAGCAGAACCTTTCAATGTTTGTGTCCCTGAACATGCTGTTCTTCCTCCAGACGGGATGGAAAAAAATCCCCCCTCTCAGACTCAAGTCTTTTCCTGCCTGATGATTTGAGATGATTTGAGTCAATGATCTGAGATGATTTCCCTCAGCCTTCATGTTAGTTTCAGATTAAAATGCACCAGAGATTTCTTTTTGTAGCTTAAACAGCTGCCTCAGGAAACTCAAGGTGGCCAATATGCCCAGCAGCGCTTGAGGGGGATATTCACTGGTTGCCAGGGAAACAGAGGTAGGTCTCTGGGAGAACAAAGGCATCTCCCATCAGAAATTCACCTCTAGCCAACAATATTGAGATGGCTTCTGGTCTCAGACAGAATGTTCCAGACGGGACACCTCTTCAACTGATCTACTTACTGTTCCCTCAGATAGAATAACTGCTCGCTGTCTCTGGCTTCCCAGCATTTGTGAGAGCAGTGCATTGTCCTAAATAAGCTGAACCAAGTGTCTGGGTTATGTTGAGATACAGTGCACCAACACTGCTGTATTACATAATGGCAAAGGTCTGATTTAACCTAAATAAAATCAAGAAATTAAAACTTTCTTAGTGGTGAGGTCAGGGTGGATTAGGAGAGGTGCATGTGGCCTGGCCAGTAATTCTTAATTCCGGAGAGAAGGTTCTGGTCTCATCTCTATCTGTGTAAATCTCGAGTGACTTCACTGAAGTCCAAGGGGTTACTCCAGGTTTACCCCTGTGTAGATGAGATCCGGATCTGGCCCCTTAGCTTTTGCCACATCAAACAAGACCCTTCATCTCACTTCAAAGAAGCTGATGTGGGGAAGAAGGGAACACAATGAGTTTTGAAATGTTCCTTGATGTTTCAACTAGGTTCTTTTAATCTCACAGGATCCTGGACAATGTTAAAGAATCAGAAGGAAACAAAATCCTGTATTTGCTTTGTAGAACCCTCCGGGAACTGTATTAATTTCCTTTCTGATGCTTATTTCATTTCCTCTGCTCTAAAGGATCCTGCTGTTTCTGTGTGATAGGGTTTCCGTTCACCCCGACTGGCACTCTCCATGCCCTGTAGGCATATGTAGTGGAGGAACTCATTTGAAACAAAGAAAACTGTCACTCAAGAATGGACACAAATTGTAGCTTCCAGCTCATTGTCGAATGTGGATGTTTGATCCTTGGCTAAAAGCCAAAGTACATGTACATTCTGGAGGTAAGCTGGGCTGCCAGGATCACTGATTCCTCCTCCCACCCCAGGAATATAGCGAGTAGAATTTTCAGGTAAATGTAGCACACAGCATTCATTAGGAGATTTCACTGTTTACTCCCTGGTAGATACAGCTTCAGGGGGCACCTCTTCTGAATTAGTAGTGGGGATATGGCCTGTAGTGGGAAAACACCAGGATGGTATCTTGTCTCCCAGCTCTCTGAAATGCAGAGGACAGCCATTCAGTCACTCACGGCTAGTCTGAAACCCATGCATCACAAAGCCCCCTTACCAAGCAGCGGAGAGAGAGTCTAGAAGGGAAGAAGATGTGGTGAAAAGAGCGGGGAAATCTCCAATCCTAGATGGACAGTGATGCTAGACTCAAACTCTGAATCAACTTGGTTTCCTTTCTCTGGTCAGGCTACTTCTTCCCCTGTGGGCTGCCAAGTGAGAAGCACTGCTATTCTGCCTCACCAAACAAGGGGCGTCTTCAAACTCTCCTGCAGCAGTCATGCATCACAAGGGGAAGTTCCACATACCTCACTGCACCCGCAGTGGGAGATGGCTTCTGGCGCTCTGAAACAATCAGCTTGTGCCTGGAACTCGACACCTAGGACTCTAATATGGCTTCAGAGTTTTGGGTTCGACGGGTCGTATCACAGAAAAACAAAACCAAAAAAACCAACCCACCGCGTGGAAGAAAAGCACATCCTGCCCCCTCCCACACCCAGTCTTAAAGCTACAGATAAAGCCAGCCACAGGGATGCTACAGCACATACACTCAAACAGGGCCAGATCGGAAGATGTGTGTGTGTCAGGTGTACCCAATCTCTCTTGTTGCCAGAGCCACATGGTCAAGTTTCCCCTTCCCAGTTCTTGTTCTGATCCAATCTTTCTTCCTCCCTAATCCCAAAGGGGTTTAATATCCATGCTTAGCAAGTGGTAGCCAGGGACTGGTGGATGGGGGGCTGGAAGCAGCGCACGTGCTCAACCGTGGAGCTGTCTGTTTCCACCGACTTCATGTACTTGTTCAGGATGGCGAAAATCTCGTTGTTCAGAATCTGATACTTCCTGATGCGGTCAGCCATCTTCTTCAGGGGCTGGAGGGGGGAAAGAACAGGCAAAGAGAGATGAAGCAATCCCTCTTGCTCAGCTGGAAAGCATCAACAGTACCACTAGCCCACTACTAAGAAACCTCAGTGGGGCAGTTACAACCCCTGTTACATTTCCCCACAGTGGACAGCGAGTCACCTCCATTGTATAGGCCAATGAGTCATGCGAAAGCGTGACAGGACCAGTATGCTGTAGTCAGAAGAACCCAAGTCTAACCTCATTCCCCCTCCTCCCCAACTTACTTATTGCTAAAGCCAGTGCAATTACAGTATGGCTAATGGGCATTATTATTATTATTTGTATGCAGCTCCCCATGGCCAAGCTGAAGGTCCGTGCTCTAAGAGCAAAAGGGTTCAGTTCCCATGCCCCATTGAAATCTTGGCTTCTCTGCTGCAAGTCCAGGTAGGAATCCCACAGCGGATGGCTCTCGCCCAATCTGGGCATTGTTTAAAGACACAGGGCAACACTAGACACGCTGGGTCCCCCGCTGGGGATTCAGAGCCTTGGGATCCATCTGTGAATAACAGCGCGATCCAGTGCAAGAGCAGGGAGAGGGTAGTTTTGCGTTACTGACCCTTCAAAAGGGGGTGGGAGGTGGCTGTCTCCGGCCTTACCACATTCTTTATGATTTCATCCTTCCCATCCTGCCTCTGCACCTTCAGCAGATGATAACAGAAGTCAAAGAGGTCGAAGCGTCGCTGCTGCCCGAGGAGAACAATGACGGAGCAGCCGGCCCAATTCAAACCATCTCCAAAGCACTGCCTGAAGAGGGCCAGAGAGACGTGAGGGAAGCTGCTTAGAGAAGGGTTGTCCCACATGATATGAGTCACCTTCCTCACCGAATTCCTGCTGTCTTGACTCTTTCATGCAGCTACAGCATAGATGTGTGTGACAGCAAATGAACTAAAAAGCAGCCATGCAGAACCCCCGTGGAGCCAGCCTGTCTTCTCAGAGCTCACCCAGGCAGCATGGCCTAGCAGAAAGAACTTAGAAGACCTGGCTTCTATTCCCAGCTTTGACAATGAGCTGCTCGGTGACCTCCAGCAAGTCACTTCCTCTCTCTGTGCCTCAGTTTCTCTTCCCATCTTTTATCTTCCTATTTAGCTTGAAAACTCAATGGGCAAGGTCTGTTTTGCTGTGTTTGTACAGCACCATGAGGCCTTGATCTTAGCTGGGTTCCTTAGGGGCCCCAGTAATAGAAATAAAGAACAACAGGATGCAAGTTGTGAGAAAAAGTTAAAACAAACCTTCCTCCCCTAAAAAACTAAACAGACCAGAAGGCTGCAGCTAGGCCAGGGGTTCTCAAACTTCATTGCACCGTGACCCCCTTCTGATAACAAAAATTACGACACGACTCCAGGATGGGGGACCAAAGCCTGAGTCTGCCTGATTCCAACTGCCCCAGGTGGGGAGCCAAAGCCTGAGCCCCGTGCCCTGGGTGAGGAAGGGGTCAAAGTCAAAGCCCCAGGGCTTCAGTCCCAGCCAAGGGGGCCTGTAACCTGAGACCTGCCACCCAGGGCTGAATCCCTCAGGCTTCGGCTTCGGTCCTGGGTGGTATGGCTCAGGCTTCAGCTCCGAGTCCCAGCAAGTCTAATCCAGCCCTGGCGACCCCACTGAAATGGGGTTCCGACCCACTTTGAGGTCCCGACCCACAGTTTGAGAACCGCTGAGCTAGGCTAAAGCAGTATAATATCACTTCATTGACAAGGGGTTGTTTCATCCCCACCCTTATTGTGGCTGTGCAGAAATGAAGGAAAAATATCAATGCACTTGGTGTAAGTGGAAGAGTTGTTGTGAAATCTTCCTTTACACTAGGGATAACCCTGGTATCTTAACCAGTGCTCCCTCTCTCTCTCTGTTGCCTCAGGCTGTGGGAGATGTAGCTGACGGTGGCCTCATTTGCCTGCATTTTCAGCTCAGTGCCTGTCCTCACCTCATGCTCTATCCCGGCTTTTACATTTTCTGCGAATGTTACTACTTGTGAATGATGCCAAATCAGCAGCCCTGGAGACTGGGGTCCTCTGCTCAGCCACAGAACAGGCCTGGCCCAATCTCCCCAGTTCCACTGCAGTCCTGAGGGATAGGCAATGCGGCCTAGTGGCCAGAGCACTGCACTGGGACTCAGGAGACCTGGATTCTATTCCTGTCTCTGGCCTGTGGAGGGACTTTGGGCAAATCGGCACCTCTGTGCCCTCATCTATACCGGGGATAATGATCCTAACCTGCTGTGAGATCTACTGACAGTTGCTATACAAGAATGCGGTGTTATTATTCCAGTTCTGTCTCTCAGCCCATTGTATTCCTGGCCTCTCTTTGTGGGGGATGGCTTTTGTGACTGGGATACCCCTGGCAGCGCCAAAACTATTTCATACGGGCTGCCATTAGACAGTCGTGCCCAGCTGCAGCGGGCTTTGAACTGGCAGTGGAGGTAAAAGGCTCTGTATTACATTACTGATCTCTGAGCCATCCAATCCCCGCAGCCCTGTGTTATAAATGATGCTCTAATCACCACCTTGGTTGTTACCTAGGGTTCCATATTATCACAACATGCTTCTCTGACTAAGAGCCTGGGTATCCCTCAGAATCCCGGGCATGCCCAGCTGGCACACGTTCACCGACAAACAGCGTGCATACTCACTCTGCAGTGAACTCGTTCGTCCCCACGGGGATGCAGTACACAAACTGCATGGCACTCCAGAGCCGGTGGAACTCGACACACTCATCCACGTGCATGACCCCGTTGGTAGGGGGAGGCCCACGCCAGATTGGGTCCTGCAGGTAGCTGCGAATGCGTGTCAGGATCACCTCGAACATGGAGAGCCCGCAGCACAGCCGCTCCTTGGTCAGCAAGTCACCCTCCCGAGCAATGGCTATTTGCTGAGAAGGAAGATAACCACAGAAACAAAAGCGGATGTGTAATGACCTCCCTTTTGGAATTCTGCACTGATCGCCATCCCGTCTCTCTCAGTTCTTTCACATTTGATATCATATTCCATGCAAGACCCAACCTTACCTCTGACAGATGTTCCCAAGGTACGCCCCTCCTGAGAACAGCCATCCCACTTAGGATAGGGCAGAAGAATATAAAGGACACAGTCCTCAAATATTTTTCATAACTCTAAACATTTTTATCCTTTGGAAATAACTGAATACCTTGGAAGTTAGAAGCTGAAGTCTGTTTTCTTCCAGAAGCATTTAGCCTCAATCCTGCCTGCACACTGCTATGTTACTGTGGGACTACTCATGACTGCTGGACTGCATATACTGGATTGTTTCTGTCATACCACTCATGGATAGGTTTCAGAGGAACAGCCGTGTTAGTCTGTATTCGCAAAAAGAAAAGGAGTACTTGTGGCACCTTAGAGACTAACCAATTTATTTGAGCATGAGCTTTCGTGAGCTACAGCTCACTTCATCGGATGCGCACCGTGGAAACTGCAGCAGACTTTATATACACACAGAGAATATGAAACAATACCTCCTCCCACCCCACTGTCCTGCTGGTAATAGCTTATCTAAAGTGATCTGGTTTAACTTGGATTTAAACTTGGTTTCAGATGTTCTGGTTTAACTTGGATTTAAACTTGGTTTCAGATGTTCTGGTTTAACTTGGATTTAAACTTGGAGAGTGGTCAGTTTAGATGAGCTATTACCAGCAGGAGAGTGAGTTTGTGTGTGTATGGGGGTGGGGGGGGGGGGAATGTGAGAAAACCTGGATCTATGCAGGAAATAGCCCGACTTGATTATGTAAAGAGTTGTCACTTTGGATGGGCTAGCACCAGCAGGAGAGTGAATTTGTGTGGAGGGTGAGAAAACCTGGATTTGTGCTGGAAATGGCCCACCTGTTGATCACTTTAGATAAGCTATTACCAGCAGGACAGTGGGGTGGGAGGAGGTATTGTTTCATATTCTCTGTGTGTATATAAAGTCTGCTGCAGTTTCCACGGTATACATCTGATGAAGTGAGCTGTAGCTCACGAAAGCTCATGCTCAAATAAATTGGTTAGTCTCTAAGGTGCCACAAGTACTCCTTTTCTTTTCACTCATGGATAGTAGACCATGAAGCCTGCTCTGTTACGGTCGGGTGATTGGTAACACCTGAGCTGAGCACACTAGTTTGTGATTCTAGTCCCTGAACACACTTGTTTGCTATGATAGGATTGTTCAGAGCAACTGATCCAATATGTGTGTGCAAATACCTAATAGGCACACACCCAGTTAGACATATGCAAACACTGGTATGCAACTGTGCATGTTTAGCTTTGAAAAACTGGTTTATGCAGACTTTGAAAACAGGATGCAAGAACAGAGAGGATGTCGGATACATTTTGATTCTCCCAGCCTTGCCATGATCTCTTTAAAAAGCAGGAATGATGTAACATTCTTGGCTTGTTTTCTAGGTAGGATTAAAAAAAAAAGCTCTGAAAAATATTTGAAGCCACCAAAAACTTAGTACTTTTTCCCCCCAGTATATTTTAGAAGAAGCTTGAGGTAACCAACTTCATGAACTTTTGGGGGTGAAATGTATAGCCGCACCGAGAACTGAATAATACCTACTCTCAGATACACCCGTGCAAATCTGGAATAGTTCCATTAACATCCGTGGAGTTACCCAGATGTACACTGTGTAGCAGAGCAGACTCTGGCCTCATTTCATCTCCCAGTGACTGTCACTAACCCTAGGGGCAAAAAGGTGATTTAGGGCATAAAAGCAACTGTGTCCTTTGCCCTAGCAGAGCAGCTCTGATTATTGTCTGTAGCAGCAGAGAGTTGTGCTAGTTTGAAAAGCATCATTAGTTAACTTTCCTTCGTCTCTTGTAATTGTTCTGTTTCGTGCCATTTCCACCTGCTTTGTTGACTCCCACTGCTTCCTCCCAGGGCCCATGCAGTTCGTTAGGAAAATGGTACATTGGGTTACAATTACCTTTGCCAAGCGTAACAAGGTAAATGGAAGCATAGCTTTGTTACCATGCGTGCCTGGCCAGGGAGTCAAAATGTGTTGGGTTTGCTGTGGTCACAGAAGATCACCCCTGTTTGAGTGTTTGTCGAGGTGTTTTATTCCCATGGACAGAGCACTTTACTCCCGGTGTTACATGGCACATGCATGCACAGCAGATGTCACACTTTCTAGCCCTACTGCCCGTGCTAGGGGGTTTCCTGTGGCTTTATGCAGGCTTTAAGCAGCTGCTACATTTCTGACTCTCCCAGTAGCTTCTATAACAAATACATTTTTATCTGATCTGGATCAATACTGGGGTTCCAGGGATGCAGGTCGCAGATGGAAGGGGCAGATGTGTGGCCCAGGTAGACAGTGAGAATGTGAGTGCTCAAATTACTTAAAAGACAGTGCATCCAAATTAATGTCGACTTGTGGGGATCTGGTTTTGGAAACATCTGGAGCTCATTCCGCTCAGCTGATAGCCCTAATAAGTAACATTTTAGCCACCTACAGAGACAAATCTAGTGGCAGCGGATCCAGCCATCCACTCTGTCCTTTTTGTTGCCCTAAACCACAGGTCCCCACTAATCAAAATCCAGGAACTCCTGAAACTCATCTCCACCAGACGTTTAAAAAGCCCTGGCCGTGCTCTGACACCCCATTTCATTAGAAGTGGTTTATGCAGGCAGTAGCCTAAAGCCTTTTTGTTTGGTAAATATTGAAACTGGAAGTTCTACAATTACTGTCTGCTGCAGTTACAAGGACAGCCTGGTAGCATAAACGCACAAGGCCGTTAATATTTAACGAAGAGCAAATATACAGAGAAAGTCAAGGGAGAGTACAGATTCTGCAAGGCAGCAGCACCAGCTCTAAATCTGTTAAACTTCGGCATGTGGGTTTCACATAACTGCTTCACTTCCCCGGTGCTCAGACCTCAAGCTGGTAGAGGTGGCAGATATGCCCTAGTAGATAGGTGGGTAGACTGATTCCTGCTGACCTGCAGAGCAGTGTTAAACTCACAACTGCAGCACGCTTGTAGCACAGCAGCTTGCCTACAATTTCAAGGCAAATATATTTAATGGGCCCACACCAATGTGCCCACTAAATCTGCATGCACATGGGCTGGTGGGCACAGAAACCGACATGACTTTAGAGTCTGCTCAGCAAGCTGAGGGACTGTATTATTGATTAACAGTATTTTTGTTTGTGGGATCCATACGCCATGCACACCAGTTTCAGTGTGGTCAGATTATCTGGAATGAACTAGTCCAATAATCTTAATATATGATTTTTGAAGAAACTGTAAAGGGACCAATTCTGCCCTCAGATGCACACACGGGGCTAGCAGGGACGAAGCAGGATCCACAAGCATGCAATCAAGGGCAGACTTTGGTCCTATGGCTGATCATCAGAAGGCCTTGATATAAAGCTACTACTGCCATCTGGCTACTACTGCCGTCTGGCTGCCCACCAGGCTGACAGCAGCTGGAGGGCAACACTCATATATCAAAGCCAGACCTAGAGTATGAAGTCCCATCATCCTGTCCCAGTTGTCAGAAACACGCCTGTGTTGTGTTCTCGTGAATAGCTTTACGGTGGGAGGGTGAGGGCAGCATACAACTCATGAGCTGCGGCAACTAAGGGTGGGCTTTGCAGGTGGGTGGGCTTTGCAGGAGTGCCGAATCTCTCACTGACTGTGGGGGGCGCGGGAGGGGACAGTTAGGCTCACTCTGCTAAATGTACATTTTCTCATTCTTGTTGGGGAGTTTACTCAATGAGCCATTCTGGCACCTTTGATTCTGCACTGAAGTCACATGCAAATGATGATTTATGTCCTGCTCGCTGCCTGTTTGCTTGTCATTGTATAAACACAACCTACACTTAGCCCCCTTTTAATGCACAAACCCTCTACAGCTTGGGCCAAAGCCATAGAAAGACTCTCACTGACTTCAGTCGGCAGTGGATGAGGCCCTTAACCACAGCATTTATTATGTAAACTGCACAGGACCAAATTTTCATTAATGGCATCCAAACCCGAACAGCTGAAATGTGCTCGTAAGTTTCCAGACACCTGTTTTTAGGTGCCTATATCTTCTGTGCACAAAAACATTGATGTTTGTGTCCAAAACTGCATTTCCAGGAGCAGACTAGTAGCCGTGGGGCACTATCAACAAATACAGTTGTGTTTATTTACATCTGAGTTTCTGAGTTCTCATAACTTTGGTTCCCAAAAGTATGTATGTGAAGAACTTGGGAGCACACTAGAGTGAGTCAATTTTTAGTGGGAAAAATGAAATACCTTTTGTTTGATCATTATAAATATGGTGAGGAGAAGCAGCAAGTGGACTGTATACAGTAGAATTTAAGGATGATTTTGCAAGGAAGGATAGACACACACACATAAAAGCACAGTGGTGATTTATATCTCAACAATGCCCCTTTACAAAGGGAACTATATGGGAGATGAGAAGTGCCAACAAATCAGAACAGAACCCTCTGCTACACTTTCTGTTTTTTTGCTTCACACTATTCCCAGAGATGCAAAGTTCCACATGACCTTGAATTATAAATATGATCCACTGGAAAATAGGAAAGTTAATTGCCTGGATCCTGTCACAGATCTGTCACTTTTTATTGCTGGATGTTCATTCCAGCTACAGAAAATTACTGTGTGAGGAAGTTAATCTAATTCAGTGTCTCAAATACATCTTCTTCTATTAACTAAAAGAGAGCAGCATTTTGGTAGAGACAGTGGGTGAAATCCTGGCCCCACCGGAAATCACTGGGGGTTCAGCCATTGACTTCAGTGGAGCCAGGATTTCAACCATTATGTTTGTTTATTTTGGTGAGAGATTTAAAAATGGGATCATAACTTCAGCATAAAAGATAGATCTTTCCATTAAGGCCCTGATTCAAGGAAGCATCCCTATGCAGGAAAGCATTTAAATGCATGCTTAACTTCAAGCACACGCTTAAGCCCCACGCACATGTTTAAAGTTAAACAAGCGCTGACATGATTTCCTGAATATGGATGGACTTAAGTGTGTGTGTAAATACTTTTCTGAACTGGGGGCTTAAAGACTTGATGGTAATCTCCCAGGTCAGTAATAACCCCCACATGTCCCCCCACAGAATTCCCTCCTGTGAAAATACCTATGGCAGTAGATGGCAATTTTCAAAGTTGTTAATGTTCAGAGCTGGCTTCTGAGCATTCACCCCACCACCCCATTGCAGAATGGTTAGCACCCTGCCTTCCTGAAAGGAAGCACTAACACACCGTCTTTACACCAGCTCCTAAATCTCCCTGACAGGCCTCATCAGCTGCTAGAGGCAAGGGGTTAAATTTGTCTGATCAGCAGAAAAATGGCAGTCCGGAATAAAAATAACTCAGATGTAAGCGACACTTTCCCCGAGAATAAGTGTGGGTAATTCAATAAAGCACCTGCCCAGAGATAATTCTCTTCTCAGGGCAAGGGAGGAGCTGTGCAGCATTTTGGAATAAAAATTGGAGCACTTTCCTAAGGCCGAATGGGCAATCGGGGGACTGCTGGGAATTTTCAGTAGCCATTTCCCGGGAGTTGAGAAGGAATCCTTACCTGAGGAGTTCCCAGCCTCTCTATTAAGGGAACCAGGTGAAGTGGGGCATATTTGGCTTCGAGACGCTTCATGCGTACCTCCAAGCGTTCTCCTTCTGTCAAGCGAGCAGCAAACAGTGACATAAGACTAGGCAGTGACAAGCCGGCATTTCTGCAGAGTCGCCCGGAGCTGCCTCCCCACCATCGTCTGCTCTGACTCTGGCTCAGGGGGTCAGAACACCAGCGGGAAAGGGAATCGGGTGACGTGCTGCGGAAGGGGGTGTAATTACAGTCTCCGCACTAGCAGCTTCATTGTGAGTTTGTAAAAGGGCCCTGTTTTGACAGCACAAATCTGACTATTATCAATCAGCTGTGGTGCATTTCATGCTGTCATTCTCCAGGCCCGCTTGCACATTGCTAAATAGCTTCTAAAGCGGAAAGAAATGAAATGGCTAACGAGTGCTTCAACCTGGGTAACTAGGCTATAAACATCCTGGCTGGCACTTGTCCTCCACCTGACTTTCGACTCATTATTGTCTATGAAAGGGCAGAACGCAGCGTAAGAAACAAATCTGCAACATTAAGGGGGGGATTCTAGGTATGGGAATAAGCACTGATCTCTGCTTCCCTCTTGACTTCTTACCTTTGATGTAGACCCTGGGCAAAATATTTTGGAAGGGAGCAGCATGCAGCAAATCACAAACTTCTTCCTGGGACTGAGGCAGGAGGAAGAAAAATAAAATAAGTTAAAAAATTCCTTAAGGGACTGAGTATATGGCTCAGGGGGCTGGCGAGAGCACATGGACCCATTCACCTCTAGGGCGAGCATTCAAATCCAGCCCAGTAGTAAAGTAAGAGGTCTGAACCCCTGTGAAGTGAAACTGGAAAAAAGTACCTGCCCAAAGCCCTTTAAACCTAAACCAGAAAGGTTTGTATAGCTCCATTAAATAACTTCCTGTCTGTACAAGCCCAGAAGGCTATATAAAGCGCTCACTGACTCCGAGTCTAGAAGCACATGAAGGAAATGATTTCCATTTTACTCTAACTTGATGACTTCCTATCATTTATTTTCTAAGGATCTCAAGACAGTCTCTTGATAGGAAGAACTTGTTGGCTTAATTGCTGCAAGGTGTGTGTGTACATACATATATGAATCCTAGAGGCTGTTACTGAACCTTACATAGTATGTTCATTTGAATTTAGTTCATTTGGATAGACATTTACAGCCAATACTATCAGACCAAAGGTGTGGTGCACCCCAGGCAGACTAGAGAAGTCATACAAAAAGGGCTAGAAAAGAATAACAAAATGAGATGCCACTTGGAAAAACACATGCCAGCACACTTGGGGGAAATTAATCCAAAACACAGACATACAAGAGGGAGAAACCTGGAAATAGTCATACTGAAAGAGTGATGGCCGACAACAAATTGTATATGAGTTTGCAATGGGAGACGGCAGCAAGGAAAATGGAGAGGTTACTTACCCAGTAGCTGGAGTTCTCGGAGATGTTTTGTCCCTGTGGGAGTTCCACTTGCACCTCTGCGTCTTTCAGCGGAGATTTTTCTTCAGCAGTGTCCATGGGTCTGCACCTGTGGCCTACACATCCTCAGGCTCTGGACCGAGGTTATACAGGGAGGGGTGGATTCGCCACCATACCACTTCCTTCTCAACAAGTTCAAAGGCAAGAACTCCGAGGCAAAGGGGACAGAAAGGTGGGTAGTGGAGCACCCGTAGGGATAAAACCTCTGAAAGAACTCCAGTTACAGTACAAAGTAAGTAACCTCTCCTTCTTTGAGTTATTGTCCTTATGAGCACTCCACATTTGGTATCTCCCAAGGAGTACACCTATTATGGGGGAGGGAGCTGAGAAGACAAGTTCAGAACACTTCGGAGAGTGGCCTTACCAAAGGCTGCGTCTGATCAGGAGACAAGGCCATGAAGTATATGGTTCTGAAGGATACGTGGAGAAGGGAACAACGCCCCAAGAGTTCAAAGGCGGGCGGGGGCTTCTCAAGGCACGGAGAATTAATTAACCTCCTAAGGTGGAGTGAGCTGCCTGATGTGAGGGAAGACGTTGGTCGATTCCTTCGGGAATCTTGTGGTGGTAGGAGGAGCACAAACTGAAACCCCTTCAACTGGCTGGCGACAGGCTCCAATGGCAGCTCGGTGGACTTTAATAGAGCTGAATGAGAAGCCTTGGGTTTTTATATGTAACAGGTAGTCAAGCCCGATAGGGAGATCAGTCTCGGATGGGCTGTGCACACTAAAGCTGGAAACACTTCCACTTTTACAAGACGGCTTTTGTCATGGTGGGCTTCTGACTGTTCCACAGTTCTGCCTGCAGCTCAAGAGGACAATTCTGCTCCAGGCTCAAGAGCCGTTGAGGAGCCGTGCATGGAGGTGTAACAAGGCGAGATTGGAATGGGTCACAAAGCCTGACTTCGGGGCCAGGAGGTCTGTCACCAGGGGGAGGAGAAGAGGTGACATCAGAGCCAGAGGAACCATGTTGGGGCTATAAGAATAACAACTGATTTCTCTTCTTTCAGCTTGTTCAAGACTCTGAGGAGCAAAGGTGTTGGAGGACAGGGATATAACAGCACTCGAAGCCAATGAGTGAGGAAGGCATCTCCCAGGAAATTGCAACTAAGTCCTCTCCTTGAGCAGAAGCCCATAGTAGCAGGAGTGATTGCACGTCCTGCCTCAAGCACTGCTTGTGAAAAGGATCCCTGAAAAAGGACAAGAAAGGGGAGGAGGATTTGAAAGGGACATTGTAGCCTGATGAAATTACTTCCAGCATCCATCTATCCAATGTGATGAGCTTCCAGGAAGGTGTGAAATGGGAGAGACACTCCCTATAGGGTGGGTAGGAACAGGATGGTGCAGCATAGGATCCATAGAGTGGGGGAGGTTCGTGGCCCTTGACCAAAGGGTCAAAGCGGCCTAGGTCATCTGCTGGACGGTAGTAGCAGATGGCCCCTTCTTGTGATACCTGGGCCTCTTTTTATGTGGGTCAGTTGGTTTCTGGAAGACGAAAAACTAAACCAGGTGAGACTGTTGGGCCATCAGCAATGTATTTTCTTTTGGTCGCAGTGATGGAAGTATCCTGGGATCACAGGTCACCCAGGAGTCCTTGAGAGCGTGTAGGGACTTGACAGTTGCATCACTGAAGAGCTGGGACCCTTCAAAGGGGAGGTCTTCTACAGTATTCTGCACTTCTCAGGGGGAGACTGGAGCACTGCAGCCAGGAAGCTCACAGCATGACTAGGGCAGTAGCCAGAGAGCAAGCTGCTTTGTCAGCTGCACCGAGAGATGCTTGTGGAACTCACACACCTCCTTGGTGTGGTATTCTGTCCCATCCAGTGGCACCAAGACCACTGAGAGTGAGAGAGAGAGATTGAGTCTGCTCTACAGTCTGAGCTAACAATCAGCTGATTTTTAGCTCATGCGGTAGAGGGTCATGCACTGAGGTTCCAGGTTCGATCCCGCCCGCCAACGACCGGGGTCTGTCGGTGTTACACTTGCTAGGACACTTTGGCAATGGTCTGTCCTTCAGAGATGAGGGCTTGAAATTGGTCCTTCTGATCCTGTGGCAGATGTTCAATACATTGTGAAAATTTGGCGTACTCTTGCAGCCGAGCAGATCTAGGCGGTTAGGGTCCCTGTCATTGGGGTGGAACTCGACTGGTCCTCTCTGTTCCTTACGTTGACGGCATTAACCACTGGGAGGGTGAGGGTGTGAAGAGAAAAGTGGTATTTGGAGCCCTTGGCCAGGGTGTAGCATTTTTTGTTAGTCCTCTGACAGGTGAGTGGAACGGTGGCAGGTGTTTGCCAGATATCACAGACTGGTGACAAGAGAGCATCGCTTACAGGCATTGCTCATTTGCCTGGAGATGTGATGTGGATGGAGGATATCCACTTAGAGAGTCTCACTGATCCTTCCTAGTGGACTTCATAGAGTCTCAGCCACGCTCCTCATCAAAGAAGAACAAAGTGATTTTGGGCTGCATACATAGAGGCATTGTTGCACAAAGAGGTTTTGGTCTGTTTCTGTGCAACTCCGGGTAGGACATGCATTTGGGGCTGGGTATACCATAAAGAGTCAGCCAGAACAGAGCTGTGAAAATGATCAGGGGCCTGGAGGGAATGACTCAGTTAGGTCTATTTTATTGTGCAAGTAGATCTTCCTGTTTGGGATGCGTTGGCGGAGGGCCCATAACCCTGACAACACACTGGTAATAGTCTGTGGCATGGACCGTGGTGGGAACAGAGCTGTGAATGCTGTAGTGTGTTTGTGAGAGTGCAGGGTGTGGCATAGTCAGCACTGGAGGTGGAGGGAAGGGGATGGCATCTTGGGTCTTATATGGACACTGCGGTTTGTGGCACAGAGAGTTCTGGGAGTGGGCACAGAAGCATGGCATGGGCATGGCATGATGTCTTGTTACCATGTTGGCAGAAGCATCCTCTTGTTCGGATGCAAATTCTGTCCCTGCTACTTCAACCCTGAAACATGTCCCGATGGGGAAATTATTTTCTCCAGCTGCTGTGGCCTCTATTTGTATTTGTGGCCTGTATTTCCCCATTTTCTGAGCAAGAATTAGGAATGTCAATAACATCTGTCTCCTCCCTCCAACCAAGGCTTCCTGCCTTACAGCACGAACTTGAGAATATTATTGATAAGGAACAACAACAAAAATTGTGTGTCTGTGTGGGTAGCGGGGGAATGGAAGCTACTTCCCCACCTTAATTGTACCATTCACTATCAGCCAATAGTCTAATGCACTATAATAGGTCAACTGCTACCATAAAACAACAGTAAGAGCAATTACATCCACGACATTAGACCTCTACTACAGGGAAGATTATAAAGCCGTTAGGGATGTTATCCAGTCTGATCTAATCTGATTGAATCCTCCCCATACTCTGTAACTCTGATCAGATGGTTCCTTTCATGATGTGGACAGGAAAGTAAGATATCCTAAGATGTCCTCTGGAACAGAATCTCACGCAAGGCATGACACCTTGTGCCTTGCATGGATGAATCTGGAAAATGACTGTCTTTGCCAGTCTTCATTTTAAACATGGGACTAGGTGCTCCTTAATAAATCAATGACTTTGTCACTGGATAAAAAAGGAAGTGCTCCCCACATCCTCCTACAAAAAAGGAAGTTCCTAATTAAAATGTGTGTGAATTTTTGATGCTCATGAGAGTCTCTCCATTGACTTCAGCTGATGCTGGATTAGGCCCTAGTGGCATAAGAGAGAGCCAGGCGTGAGTGGGAGTAAGTACTGTGGTACCATCCTGGGCCCACTCTGCCAGGCCACCTCCATTATGTCCCATAATCCTTTGTTCAGCTTCAGTCCTGGGCCTTTTTTGAGCAGATGACGGTCAATCATGCTTGGCTACCTGGAGCTCTTTGGATGTAGACATATGCCGAGTAGGCTGAGCCCATCCAAACAATTTCACTTGGAACTGGATGGAGATTTAGAACCCAGCTTCCCAGAGAGGAAAAGCCAAAGTCTCCACTTCCTGTGCCACCAAGCTTCAAAGCTTTTCAGCACAGAAGGGCCCTATAGCCTCACGTTCTCATGGTGGGTGGAAACTGATGCCTTCCGAGTACAGAACTACGTTAAGTTCTGAATGAAATTCCTTACTGAAGAACTTAAAGATCAGAGAGACGTGATACAGGCTGGTTATGGAAACCCCACCAATATGGACTTTGATGGTAACCTTCCCAAATGGGACCTCGGAAGCTTACTTTTGTTTCCTGGACTGCCCGCATGCTGCTGGTACACTCTCGGTCTCCATGGCAACACAAGAATGCCTTTCCACACCAATGGAGCGTTATTGCTACGAGACCCCATAATGTGCACTTCAGATAGCCATTTCAAGGTCAATCCGCCCGCACATCCAGCGTGGGGATCTGACAGGGAGGCGGGATCAGAGCCCCAGCAGAGCATGGGAGGAGGAGGGCAGGATACATTTGGCTGCTATCATTATATAGGGGCACGTTTGTGTACCTCTAGTTTTCTTAACAAAATGTAATGTAGTGCTCCTGGGAGGTGCTGGGTGGACAGTACAAGAGACTGACTGTGTATCTAGTGTATACTCGCTGTGTATCTAGTGCAAAACAGCACAGACAGCAGCAGCAGCTCATGTGCCCCCCTCCCCCCACAGCTCTGCCCAACAGGCTCGACCCACAAAGGGTGTGTCTCCATTGAGGTTAGCCAGAGTTATCTACACTGGAGTTAACTCCTCTTGCGTTAGCCTAGTGGCCACAGTGCAGAATACCACTCAAGCCGCACCGAGGGGTTGTGTTAGCAGCGGAGGAAGCTGGGCTGGCTCAAGCTGTAGCCTACACACCCAATGGGCTAGCCCACTCCAGTTAAATGCTCTGCTACACTTGAGCTAAAGGGTTTTGTATGTGGATGGGGCGTGAGTCAGGGAAATGCTCAAGCTGTGACTCGAGTTAGCTTTGCAGTGGAGACAAGCCCCAAGAAATCTCACCAGATCAGCAGTTCTTGTGAGAGTCCCTCTGTTTGCGGCTGCTTCATTATTATTATTTATTTATATTGCAGTGGTGCCTACGTGGCCAAGTTGGGGATAAGGGCCCTTTGGTGCTCAGCACTGTACAAACAGAATAAAAAGATAGTCCCTAGAACTGGATCTAGGAAACAGACACCTCCTGATTCTGGGTCTGAGCTGAAATCTTAAACGACCTCAGGTAGCTCTGGATCTTGGATCTGAAAGTAAATCTTCCAGAATTCAGATCTCAGGTTCCACTTCAGGGCCATTTCTAACTTAAATATCAGTGAGTTCTTTCCTTGCAGGCTGCCCTGGCTGTCAGGGCCACAAAACCAGTCTGTGTAGTGTTGCTCCTACACCTTTAGATGACACACACACACAAAAATAACCCAACCCCAGTGAGATGGTGAGTAGAGGTGAAGCTGTAGACTGTAACTTGCTGAAATTAGAGGTTTTGCCTTACCAGGGCCTGCTCTATGAGGAGGCAGAACAGAATAGCATTGCCCACTTCTCTAAGGCTCTGGAATACATCAGTCTTCAGCTCTGCATACTCAATGATGTCCTTCAGCTGGTGATGGAAAAACTCCAAGATTCCTAAATAGACACATGAAGGGTAAGACGATCAGGAAAGGAAGAGCAGCAGAACCAAGCTAACCAGTGGCTCATGCAAAGAACCAGTCAATGCCTAACGTTTTCTGACCATTAACTGGTTTCAGAGTAGCAGCCGTGTTAGTCTGTATTCGCAAAAAGAAAAGGAGGACTTGTGGCACCTTAGAGACAATGCTCAAATAAATTTGTTAGTCTCTAAGGTGCCACAAGTACTCCTTTTCTTTTTGACCACTAACTGTGATCCTGGACTACTAATTATAAATAACCCCCCTCTTTATGAAAGGTCTGCAACCAATAAGCCTGATTCTCCTCTCACACCTGAGTAAATAAGGAAGAACTCACTTGATGTCAAAGGAATTGCATAGATGTGAAAATAGTAGATAGGAGAATCAGAACTGTTCTGGATGCCTAACTGTTCTGGATGCCTACCTGGACCAAGCAAATCTTCCTGACCACCCCATTTGCAAAAAGTTAGTGGTACTGAAAATAAACTTTACATTTATCCCCGGAATCAGTACAGCTTTTGGGTCAGCAACAACAAACCTATAATAATGTAGTTTAAAAAACCTTGAAAGCAAAACAAAATACTTTTTTAAATGTTCCAGATCAGTGATTCATGTTTCCATAGAGAAACTTTCAATAACTTGCCAAGTGTAGGGGCTTTTGACATAAAGTACATTCTGTCATCGGTCACAAAACATCTGATGCTGGCTCTCATTTCCACAGCTAAAAAAGATGCATTATGGAGCCACAGGAGCTGCTCCATAATTAAAGTTGTAAGACGTTTTTCTTTAAAGGCCAGATTGCAATCCCATTCCCAGCTTTCACAAACAGGCTTCCCTTCAAATGATGCATGTGCAGATTCCAGCAACACAAACTTTAGGGAGTGTTTGAGGTTGCATCAGACAAGAGATCTAGGAAATATAATGTCTTAAGCCTCATGATGTTTAATGTAATGAGACTACTATATATTTATACATTGCTAAAGTGCTCTTCACTGTAACATCTAGACAGTCTTATAACACATCATTTTAAGGACTTGGAGAATAAGCCAATAATGGTTTAGTTAACACCTTGTGTTTGGATTAACGCAGCATGTACGGGGGGGGGGGGGGAGGCATGCTACATTACGTATCCTAGCACTGACCTGGAGATCCATACTCATGTCTTGGCAAGCGGCATATTTTGGGCATCACCTCTATCAATGTTTTCACATACTGCAGAATGGTGCCCTGTAACTGTCGGAGATAAAAGGAGATAAATTAACTTGAAAGGATGAGTCTCTACTCAGAGCACATTAATTTTAAAGGGGTAACTTTTCTGGACTGGCTGGTGGCTACCAGAGCAGAATGCAGTTTTGACGACAAAAACCTCAAACAATGCAAAACTCGCCTGCTTTTTGCTAACATTATACACATAAAACTCAGCCCACAAGCTGGGGGCTCTTTTATGGTTTCACCCTGAAGCCAACTCACGGTTTTCTGTAGTTTCCATCTGAACGCTCAGCTCTGAGCACTGCGTTTGTTTGAACCTGAATTGCAAGCAGCATTTGGAGGTGAGAATCCAGTCAGATCAAAAATAGCATAAAAAAGTCTCGCTCACAATGGCTACAAAAATCTCTCTTCAGCACAGGAAAGATTCCTTCTGCCTGAATACTGATGACTGGATGCATGCTATTGACATTTGACAGAGAGCATGCTGCAGAAAAATGGAATTATACTTCGGGGGAGGGAGGGGAATTAGCCGCTGGAGCGCCGATGTTGTGAATTAAAATGGATAAGAGCAACCAGATTCGATGAAAATGTGTGCTGTGATTGAGTTATATAACTGCATCCTGTATATATTTTATCCATGATTCTGCACTGAACACAACTTAGCCAGTCCCAAGACCCTTATCTTTGCTCTGACCACTATCAATCTCAGATGCTAGCTAGAGCTTTGTACACTAAGCAAACACAGCTGACCCTTCCAATTACTACTGTGTCTTATGAAAGTTAAGTGAAAGCACTTTGAGATCCTCAGCTTCACACTGCTCCATTAGACAAGATCAAGATGATGTATTAACATTAGAGCCAAAAATGAACTGAAGCGTTTGCAATGACTACTCTTTGCTGATCAAAAAATTTCCTTCACAAACGTTTTTCTGGTGGAACGTCATGATCAGAAATCATTTTATATGCTGTGAATTAAGGTCCTGGAACTGCACAGATAACATTTCTTCTGAACATCAGATTTATCTTCTGAGAGAAAGCAGAAAAGACAAGAAGAAAGTCGTGTCTCTTTCAGTCAGTGTTAAGAGTATCAGGTAGTGATGGGCAAACTGGTATTGATAAGAACTCATCAAAACCTTCACACAAAATAGGAATCTTTTTAGAAATTAAAAAAAAAATGGAATGGCTCGTCTCTTTTTAATTTTCTTTAATCTCTTCCCTTCCTTTAGTTATCTAGGACCAGAAGTCCCAAAATGTCACAAATCAGATTGCTCCTGTGCATCAAGATCTACCTAGGTATTTATGTGGGCCTCATCTGTGCAGTATCTGAGCACAATCACTGATGGATTTTACCCTCAGAACATCCCTGTGAGGTAGGGAAATACTATCCCCGTTTACAGATGGGGAACTGAGAGACAGGGTAGGTTAAATGACTTGCTCAAGGTCACACAAGGAGTCTGTGGTTGAACTGGTGTTCGAACCCAGGTCTCGAGTCCCAGTCCAATGCCCTTCCTCCTCGACGTGCCGATAATGTGCAAGAAGAGGCTCTTTTCATGAGGCTTCTCGCCCCATTGCTCAGCAAAAGAGGCTCAGCGGAACCTGGATATGCTTCAAGTAAATACTGTAACCAACACCCACAACTCTCTTTGAAGTGAATGGGATTCCCTAGCACCTCTGAAAACCAGGCTATGCGTACAGGTGTCTGGCTATGGATGGATGGATGTATTTACACACCTTAATAGAAACATTTTGGCCAAAAGTATCCAAAGCCTAGGCTGATTATCTGACCCAAGCCTCCCACAGCAGCGAGGTTTGCCCATCACTTGTTCCAGGCCCATAATTACCAGGCTTTTGACGATCTTCAGCAGCTCCTCCATCACCACTGCGATCCCTTGATAGCCTAGGAGCCGGCAGATTGTCTTGAAATGAGGAGGCCCCACGAAGTTACGGTAGGAGCTGTAGATGTGACTGTAGGCAATGTTCAGTGGCTGAAAAACGAGAAGCACAAAGACAATTATGGGGACAGGCGCATTTGCAAGGGTGATACCGAATACTCTTTTCCAGGCAGTGTTTTATGTCCCACCTGTTCCGATACCTTTTTATAGAAGACATAGGGAACGAATACAGTCCATGGCACACTTCTTTTTTGGGGAAGGGGGCACCACGAATTTTTATTTTATGCCTCGGTTTAGAAGAGCGTTTGAAATTGACACCTCTTTGTTGGATGACATCCTCAATGATACCGGTGCACTTCTGGCTGAAGAGTTTGTTGGGCGCACAAGAGCAACAGCCTTGGCTTTTGTCTACATACCATGTAAACAAGAACTGTTGCCTACCGAGGAATCCTTGGCAACAGACGAGTAGGTATTATTGCATACTATCTCCCCATCCCTTTGTCTCATTGTGTCCTTCAGTCGAAAGTTTGCTTGTCTCTTTTCTGTGGTAGCAAAAGGTCTGCATCTGATCCTGACCGGAACGTCTGAGCACTGCTATCACTATAACTGGGGGCGCGGGGGAAGAGGAAAGGACACAGGAAAGAAGGAGGGAGGGCCATGTGCCATCAGCCCTGCAGAGCTTGTCTTGCCTTCCCTTCCCTTTATTTACTACTCCTATAGCCTTTTTCCAGTGCCGAGGTTCTTGTTCTCTGCTTCTCTACTTCAGGCTACCCCTGCTGCAACCATGGACAGGGCTCCTAAGTGAATCTGTCTCCAGCCAATCTCTGACAATTATTGTTAATGACGGTAGCACCTAGGAACTCCAGTCAAGGCTCAGGCCCCCACAGGTGATGTGCAGACAGGTAAGAAAGAGGGCAGTTCCTGCCCCAGTCTAGGTGTTGGACAGGATGTGACAAATGGACAAAACAGACAAATGGGGTGAAGGAAGATGGGAGGAGGAGGTTGCAAAATGAAGAGCATTTAGCAAATGAACAGAAGTCTTCGCTTGGCATGTGCCTCACTAAACACCTGTAACATAGGAGAATAGGAACGACAGCAGCTGGTAAGCAAACAGTGTGGGAAAGGACATGAATCAGTTCCTCTCTGTGTCTTGTAGGCGTCAGTGTAGGACTCTGTAGTTTTCTTGGCATTTATCCATGTCGGGTTGTGTGCTGGTGTCTGAATTTGGCCCTGGGGGTGGGTCAATGTCTCAAAATGGAACTGTGGGGTTTAGTTTGGCTCCTGGCCCGAAATGAATTTCCATTTGATCTTGGAATAGCCTTGGAAACAGGGAGCGTGCTGAAGCACTTTGTGTCTCTGGAATATTGGTTGGATCCAAGCAGTGTCGAGAGAAGCCGAAGGGAGAGGCAGGGGAAAGCACTTCAGCTGTGCAATTTGAAAAGGACGCCTGGTCAGTATAACCGAGACAGCTGAATGCTGTGCCTGCCAGGGGCTTGCTCTGAAAAGGACGCGTTTGCATCAGGGTTTGGCACCATAAGAAAAGGGCCGTGTTCTCAATTCCTCTGCCCCCCCCCCCCGACAATAACTGTTGCATCAATAAGCAGCGTCAAATATATTCTTCAAATGACATCTGGCAAAAAGCGCCTCTCCCAGTGAAATGCCAATAAGCTCCCTGCCTGTCTTTGGTTAACCAAAGAGATGAGAAAGCAGAAGGGAGGACATTTTTCTGCAGACATGACAAAGGGTCAGGTATATACTGTACTCTAATGGGATTTCCTGCCATTCCAGGTTTCAGAGGAACAGCCGTGTTAGTCTGTATTCGCAAAAAGAAAAGGAGTACTTGTGGCACCTTAGAGACTAACCAATTTATTTGAGCATGAGCTTTCGTGAGCTACAGCTCACGAAAGCTCATGCTCAAATAAATTGGTTAGTCTCTAAGGTGCCACAAGTACTCCTTTTCTTCTTCCTGCCATTCCAGTAACTGAGCACAGCTTAACCCCCTTTGGCTATGCTACAAGAGGGCAAGGAGTGATGCCCTGCCTGCCAACAGGAGAGGGAGGGTGTGCAGAAGTGGCAGAACAGGACAAATCAAGAACACTCTCAAAAGTCACTGCTTCCACCATCTGCCACACATATGCTGGTGCTAGCCATGAGATAAATACAGTTATCCTGCAGCGCTGGCGGTCTTACCTGCCCTCGGCCCACTGAGCCATCTCTCACAAACAATTCTACCATTCCAAACCTCTGAGCAGCTACAAAAACGTGGCATTTTTTAAAAAAGCCCACCAGCCGTAAAACCGCTTCCCCCTTTCTAGAGGTAGAATTTCTACTCCCTGACACAATACTCATTTGCTCACTTGTCAATTACTTTAATCAACAAATTAACCATCCGCATCATTTTGTTTAGACCAACAGATTCCTTTCACTGTTCCAAAACCCACTTGCCCATTGGAACTATTAGGAACTAGTTGAAAAGGGATATGTCATTTGGAAGCCAGGAATTCCCCTTTTCCTATGGGATAAGGTCCAGGTAGATTGCAGGATGTCATACCCAGAAAACTAGGTATGGGAAAGTTACTGAAGGTAACTTATAGAAATGTCTAAATTGCATTCATTAAACATTTTTCTCTTTCACCCAGGCCTGTAGAGTAGGGCTCATGGTCATTAGGAGATCGGTCTGCAGCCTACTGAAGTGAGTGGAAAGACTGCCATTGGCGGCCATGGCAGAAAGAGCACCGGTAACCGTTTTCATAAACTCTTTAAAGGAGCAGAAGCAGGATGTGTGACTGTTGCAGCACCGCATTTGATCTGCCAGGCAGGAGGGAGGCAACCATCCCGAATTCCTGCCAATAACCCTGTACCGCCAGGTTGCAGCCAATTACAGTAGCATCCTGTTGCTCTAGCTTTTGCAACCTATCATTACAGCCACTGGGACCCCTGTGAAACATACTGCTGTGCAGACCAGGTAAGTGAACATGGAAAGGGGGAGCCCCACCGCACTTCCATGCGTTCCCTATAGATTTATCTGCGCACAGAGGAGTTGTGTGCCCTGCATTTTCCATGTCTTTCTCGCACTAGCTCCCAGCGTGGGGACTTGGGGTCCAAGAGGTGCTGGGAGTCTGAGGGTCCTGTGGAGCAATGGAGGACCTGAGCTGTCCACCCTGACAGCTGACTGAGGAAACTGCGGTGTCACATGAGCTTGTCATCGATGGTGGATTTTCCAAAGCACTCAGTGCTGGCCGAACTCTGCGGCCAGTAACGTCAGTGGGAGCTGACTTCAAAGGGAACAGAGCTGGGACAATGCTGAGCGTTTTAAAAATCCCACTCCATGTCTTGTGATGGGACTTTGCCTTGTTGGAGTCTTGCTCTTGTTGCACAGCTCCCTACTGAGGGTCCGTCTACCCTACAATTAAACACCTGCGGTTGGCCCGTGTCAGCTGACTTGGGCTCACAGACCGTGGGTCGCAGGGGCTATGAAACGGCAGTGTAGTCATTTGAGCTCAGACTCTGGGTTTAACTGCAGTGCAGGCAGACTCTCAGAGGGATACCAAAGTCGTTCCTCAAAAAGAAAAGGAGGACTTGTGGCACCTTAGAGACTAACAAATTTATTTGAGCATAAGTTTTCGTGAGCTACAGCTCACTTCATCGGATGCATGTTTTCTCCCATGAAGACAGTCGTTCGCACTTCCTGCCATCAGGAAGCTGAAGATGGCTCTTTGGAAACATGATGATTCCCGTGATGGGGAGGCATTGCAATCGAAGAGCAACTCCACTGATTGCCCCCTCCCTGGGATGGAGACCTGTTCTCATCATGTGCAGCATTAGCATTCCAATAGCCTCCCACCTCTCCAGCTTTCATCCCACTTCCAGATTGCTTCTGGCTGGCTCGTGACCAGTGACTAACGGAGCTGGAAAGAAGCTTTTAAAGTTTACTTTTCCTTAAAGGGTATGTGTGGGGGGCACTAGTACTGAAGCTGCAGCCGCAATCCCCATTTAATTGGACACTTCAAGTTAATCTATTTTACAACGTGTGTTGCTTGCCAACAAAACAGGATGATTCATTCCTTCCTGTCTGAAAGATGATGTAAGTTTCACCAAGCTTTATGCAAAGCTATGCGGTGCTGTAATAAAAGGCGTGCATCTACTAATAATACCATGTCTTTGAGCAATTAAAACGTAACTCCATTTAAGGGTGAAATGCACAGCTTGGATTAAAGAATGTAGGAGGTAAGTGCATTTTAAGACAGGATAGCTGAACATGCAAGCTGGCTTCACAGTACCATCCATTCCCCCACGTGGGCCCTCTGCCTGCAGCCCCTTTGAGCTCTGTGTGCCAGGTGAGTGGCAGCCTGCTCCCAACTCGAGGTGATGCAGCTCATGATCAAACACGCATCCTAAAGCTCTGCTGTTCCAAGCTGACGGCATCTGTGCAAGCCTTTGGTTTGGGGGCCAGCCAACAGCAGCAGAGCAGGGCACGAAGCCAGGCTGCTAGCATGGTACAGGTGTTTGGGCCAGGAGGCTGGGAGTGCAGATAGATTGGGATGTGCAGAGATGGGTCTTGTTCCCACAGTCTCAGGATCCAGAAGGAAATAGCAGTCGGTCTCCCTTTGCCATGCGCCTGGGAGAGCGTGGTGGGAAAATCCCCATCCCATGCCGAGGTGATCAGCTGCTGCTGGGATCCCAGGGCACAGGAGTTAGCAGCAGGTGTAGTAGGTCATTTCCAAGTCTGCAGGCCCACTGCTTGTTGTCACGAATCCCTGTCTTGGCTTGACAGCTCGCCTTAGAGTGAAAGAATTCCATCAGGCCTTAAGCCGCAGAAAGAAAAAATAATGCCACTGTCAAGGTTCCCTCCCCACTCTGAACTCCAGGGTACAGATGTGGGGACCTGCATGAAAAAACCCCTAAGCTTATTTTTACCAGCTTAGGTTAAAACTTCCCCAAGGTACAAACTATTTTACCTTTTGCTCCTGGACTTTATTGCTGCCACCACCAAGTGTCTAACAAATATATAACAGGGAAAGAGCCCGCTTGGAAATGTCTTTCCCCCCAGAATCCTCCCAAACCCTACACCCCCTTTCCTGGGGAAGGCTTGA